TGGATAGCCCAATGGCTTTGAGAAGTTTCTACTGCAGCTAGCTACTCAGCAGAAGAGACAAGCCACTTTAAAACCTGGCATGCTTCTTCAGCCAATTTCTCAAGTTCATAAAACATGTTAAAAGCACCTATTCATTTCTCCTCTTCATGTTTCTTGGTGGTCTAGGCTTGCATCTCTTTACAAAATTAGAATTATTTTTGAAAATGCATATTGTGGACAAAGTACAATCAAGTGTGTTAGATAATTGCATTATATTGTGCACAATTCATAATGAATTGGATTCCTTCCTAACTAGAAGCAAATCCATCATTAGCACATTATCAACGACAGGAAACTGTGATCGAGCATAAGCTTTCCATCAGCTAAGACTTAGAGATTGTTTTCACAATTCATTATGAATAACTCCATTCACGATCATCAGATGTGTTGATGAATCAGTCATACTATGCAATGTTTTGAGGCTTTTGTATGAGTCACTGCTTACAGAGGTAGTGAGTACACAAACACCCCCCTCAAAACATGAAAGATTTGTTTCAGAAGGCATATAACTCAGCTGACAACTAGAACTCACCTTTCCTACAGAAGAAACAGGATTATTATTATTATTATTATTATTATCATTATTATTATTTTAAAAAGAAATCTTCCCACCACTCTTCCAGATAAATAGAAGATAAAGTTTTGTGTAAGTCATTGGGTATTATTTTTGTCCAATCCTTTGAAAATCCCCTTTATTATTTTCCCTAGGACATATCCATCTCCAAACAGTGCTTGATAAACCGCAGGATGTCATAACCATCAGATTTGATGGATAAATACTCTGCTATATGTCAGCTTCTTTTCAACAGTGTGCAGTTTGTCTAGATAGATTGATACCGGCAGGCTTTTCAAATCACTCCTTCACAGTTTTGATGCAAGACCTTGGCCTCTTGTTGGGTGTTTCTTTGATCCTGCAACTGTTTGGTACGTTTTCTCTTTAAGTATCTCAGTTCCAGCAGAGACATGGATTCTACCATTTGGTAGAACTTGCAATTTGCCCTCCAAAGTAAACATAAGTCTTTGTCTCTGTGCAACATAGATTGTCAAGCTAGGCTTGTGTATTGAAAATATCTGTATTCCACCTTTCTATATATAAAAAATCAAGGCAGCCAACAGCATCAGAACGATCAAAACAATCAGTCAATGAATTAATGGACAACAGCAATACATGTATAATATTTTGCCACCTTTGTTGTGCAAATAACACAACCTTTGTTGTTTTGCTGCCACAGGATAACCTGTCTACCTATCTGGGAGTTAAAGCAGAGCATCGCCTCATATGGATAAGGTCTCAAGGCACATAAAACCAAGCCTTATGAAGAACGGCTGAGGGAGTTGGGGATGTTTTGCCTGGAAAAGATGAGACTGAGAGGAGATAGGATAGGCATCTTCAAATATCCCAAGGGCTGTCACATGGAAGAGGGAGCAAGCTTGTTTTCTCCTGCTCTGGAGGGTAGGACTCGAATCAATGGCTTCAAGTTACAAGGAAGTGTTAGGATTCTTTTCCTGTGTTGCAGTCATGGGATTGTTGTCTATCACATGACGGTGTAGGTTTTCATTCCACATTGTGGGAAGTGACGGAGACAGGATGTTTGGATTACTGTGTTTCCGTGATGTAGGACTTTTGTCCTTTGTTCTCTCTTTCTTTGCTGTCTGATACTGAAGAGGAAGGAGCTGAGTTACAATGCTCCAAGTGTATAAATGTAAATAAACATCGTTTAGCCAAAATGCTGCGCTACTGAGTCTGAACGCTGACTGCCTATACTATGCTGATCCTAAAGTGTGCTGATGCCTCTGAGATATCAGTCGCTGTGATGTTTGGGCTGGAGAAAGATTTTAAATCTTCCTAACGAACTACCAGGAGGGAGAGACATGCCAGTCAGGCATGTGTCTCTGCTGGACTCCTACTCGTGTGTAGGACCTCCTGACAGAAAGGAGATTCCAACTAAATACAGTGGTACCTCGGGTTACATACACTTCAGGTTACATACGCTTCAGGTTACAGACTCTGCTAACCCAGAAATAGTACCTCAGGTTAAGAACTTTGCTTCAGGATAAGAACAGAAATCGTGCTCTGGCAGCGTGGCAGCAGCAGGAGGCCCCATTAGCTAAAGCGGTGCTTCAGGTTAAGAACAGTTTCAGGTTAAGAACGGACCTCCAGAACGAATTAAGTACTTAACCCGAGGTCCCACTGTATTAGGAAAAACTTTCTGACAGGAAGAGCTGTTCAACAGTGGAACAGTCTCCCTCGGGAGGTTGCGGACTCTCCTTCGTTGGAGGTTTTTAAGCAGAGGTTGGATGACCATCTGTCATGGAAGCTTTGGCTGAGATTTCTGCATTGCAGGGGGTTGCACTTTGAACTAGATGGCCTTCGGGGTCCCTTCCAACTCTACAATTCTATGAAGCTACCACTTTGCTAAAGCTAAGCAGGTCTGGGTCTCATCAGTGCCTGGACTAGAGACATCCTGGGAACCATTTGTGATTAAACATTATAGAACATTATATTTAATAACCTTTAGGAGATCAATGTAGATCCAGCCCAGAGTTCTTACAGTGTTAAAAGAGAGCAGGTCTCAGGCTTGTAAAGTACAGTGGTACCTCAGGTTACAAACGCTTCAGGTTACAGACTCTGCTAACCCAGAAGTAGTACCTCGGGTTAAGAACTTTACCTCAGGATGAGAACAGAAATTGCACGGTGGCAGCACGGCGGCAGCAGGAGGCCCCATTAGCTAAAGTATTACCTCAGGTTAAGAACGGTTTCAGGTTAAGAATGGACCTCCGGAACAAATTAAGTTCTTAACCAGAGGTACCACTGTACAATGCTACTAGCTGGACTTATTATATCAAAACATTGTGAATACTAATAAGCATTTTTTAATGCCGTTTGGTTTATGATACTTTGTGTGCATGGTGTTTTGTTTCATTTAATCTTCATTTGAATCATGTTTGAGACAAAACTGATGAAGGGCTTTAAAGTATTGGAACGAAACGAGCAAATAGCAAGGGATGTTTTGTGTGGGAAAGCATTTCACATTGTGGAAACTTCCTAGCCAGCTTAAATGCTCAGAAATGCTACCAGCCTCACGGAATAAATGCAATCGAACCTCTGGCTCTTTCAAACTGTGTTGATATTGATCGCTGAAGGTGACGCAGCTTTCCAGTTCCTCAAGGCGTGTGTGTGAGAGGGAGGGAAAGAGAGAGAACAACCAAGAACGCAGACACAGCTGCACACATGATTCATCTTATTGGACAGACATTGTTTTATTGCTGCTGTCTTGTGCTTGTATATTGGCCCCAGAAAAAAACATTTCTCTATACTCTATACCTTCCTTAATGGAAGTTCTCTCTATCTCGACAGTCGTGAAGTCAGGACTAAAAACCATGTCTTTTTACTTCAGGTGTGAGGAACCTGTGGTCCTCTAGATGATGCTAGGCGATGGCTCCTGTGATAGGAATTTTATGGTCTTAGATATATGGTAATATTCATAAGCGTACCAACCAAGCACGTACATAGATCAGCCCAGAAAGACCAACCTGGAACCGTTTTGATTCCTAAACTGAGCAAATGTTTTCTCTGCAAGGTCAAAGTGGGAAACCTCCCCATTGTCTCTTTCCTCACAAATCCTGTCTTAAGGGCACATTTAAGATATGAATAGGGTGTGAGCCTGTGATCTGGCCCAGGGACTAAGTATTTATCATTACAAAAGACTAGTCAGGCTGCCCAGGAAATCCAATCAAGTAACCTGCCAGACAGGAGATAAACAACGACAGGAGAAAAACAACATTCAAATTTCTGTTTTAAGACTGCCTTTTCTGTGATGTAGGTATGATGTATCTGAGGGGTGGTCTTAGGTTACACCCCTTCTGTGATATATGTGCGATGTTTCTGGGGGTGGTCTTGATCTGAAGGGAGAGGAGTGAAGAGGTGGGGGAAGGTAAAAACTCCATCGTGCTTTAGCTAGCTCTTGTTTTTAGCTATGCAGATTTAGCTCTGCAGGCCGGTAGTGGTTTCCTATCTGCTTCAGTTGTGGTGAGCTAGCTTCTCACCTCAGCTGTGCAAAATGCAAACATTTATAATGCAAAGCAAACAATATGCAAAGGTGGGGGAGGAGGGCTTAGCTAGCCCAATAAGGTAATAAAGTGTATCTCTGCCTGTTGATTGGGGAGCAACTGGGGGCCAAGCTTGCAGCTTCAGTATAAGAATGCTTGGAAGACAATAGGGGGGGCCAGTCTTTTGGAAGCTATTCCACTGGCTAACTCTGCGCAGATTTTGCAATAAACCTTTTTCTCTGTGGAACCCACCCTGGTGTATATTTGACTCCTTCATGCTAACAGCAGGGGCAGGTGACTGGATCCGGACCCCTTAGGATCAGATATCCTAACATATCTGGTGCGTTGGCCGGGAACCCACCTCTCCTGCTGCTTGAGCTTGAAGGCCAGGCTCGACTGGACGAACAGCTTGGATCGGCGTAGACGGCTCCAGCGCGCACCCGCCAGTTGCGGGAGGAATCCATCACTCCGTTCCTGAGTGGAGACGTCCGGTCGTGGGAGAAAAAGGATCGGCCGAGGGAGGACACAGGGTGTGTCTCAGGACATAGAGGTAAGCTCTTAGGGAAAGAGAAGAGCTGGAGATCTGATCAATCTCACCTGGAGTGTGGCAATAAAGTGCCCCCAGGAAGGGTTGGCCGGGACAGTGGGGTCCCTCTGCCAGACTGTGGAAAGGAAAAGGGTGGAGGGTGTGGAGGTGGATTGTGAGGGTGTGGAGGTGAACTGTGTGTTTTATGACCAAATACTCCAGTGAAAGGATGAATGTGTGAGAGGTCGGGGCTTAGCGTCTCCGTGGCCAAGCGTGTCTAGGGCTGTGTGGTTCTTGGCAGCGCGAGCTCGTCCAAGCCACAGTCTGTAGCGTGTGAAGTGGGCAAGGTGCTGATTTTGGCTAGGAGCGGAGTATTCTGGTAAACATGGGTTCAGGAAGCAGTAAATGTACCCCTTTGGAATGCTTCCTGAACAACTGGAAATTGGCCACAAAGGATGATGATTGGGGATTTAAGTTGAAGAAGGAGAGGCTTAGGACCCTTTGTGAAGTGGACTGGCCGACGCAGGGCACTGGCTGGCCGTCCCAGGGCAGTTTTGATGGACGGTTGATCAATCCCTTGTGGCAGAGAATAATTGCAAACCATCCAGATCAAATTCCCTATATTTCCACGTGGAAAACCAATGTGGATAAAACCCCCCCTTGGCTGCAGGCTTGCCGAACTGCTCCACCACGGGCAAGGATCTGTGCCGTCCGGCAGCAGAAATTACCTCTTGTGGTCCAAGACACAGAGGAAGATGAATTAATTGTGAGGCCACCTCCTTATAGACCCCCAACACCGGCACCAGCACCACAGAATGATCCACCCCTGCAGAATAATCCCCAGGATAACCCCCCCAACCCAGTTGGTGGCAGCCCTATCAACCCAACCCCTGAGGATAAAGACCCCACCAAATCAGAGACAGATAAGGAGGATGAAAGTGATGATGATGAGGGGGATGAGGAAACACTGTTAAAGATGTTGGAAGAGAAGGTACAGAAGGGGGAGAAGTGGAGTAAGAAGCAAGACAAATGGATAAAGGACTATGTAGACCCCTATAAAGACCAAGTGGATGTTAGTCCCCACCTCTTAGAAGTGGCACGTTGTGAGGATGGGCGCTGGAAGAAGAAACAAAAGAGGTGGCTGGAGGCAGCACGTAGAGCTGCCACCCACCATGAGAGAGAGAGAGGGAAGAAAGATCAGGCTACAGCCTTGATGCCCCTCCGGGTAGTTTATGACCCCCCGGGACCGCCAGGGGAGAATGGGGCAGCAGCACCACGCACCTACACAATCCAACATGTGCCTTTTTCAACTGCTGATATTTGCAATTGGCGCAATCAGAACCCCTCCTTTGAGGAGAACCCAGCCAAAATCATCAAACTTTTTGAAGGGATCTTTAAAACTTATGACCCTACCTATGATGATGTTCAATATCTTTTGGACTCTCTGTTAACAACGGAAGAAGTCCGGAGGGTCCATAGTGAGGCAAGGGCGCATCTGAGGCAGTTACAATTAAATGATAACCAAATAAATGATGCCTACCCCCGAGCCACTCCTAATTGGGACTATCAGGATCAGAATGCTCGGACCGCCCTGGCAACATACAGGAACCATGTACTGGCGGGAATGAGGAGGGCAGCTAGGAAGCCCACTAATTTGGCTAAGGTGGCTGAGGTGGTCCAGAAATCAGATGAGTCGCCAGGGGTTTATTTGGAGCGCCTGAAGGAAGCCTACCGGCAGTTTACCCCTCTGGACCCGGACGATCCTGCCAATGCTCCGGTTGTTAAGGCAGCCTTTGTGGCCCAAGCCACTCGCGATATTCGCCGAAAAATTCAGAAAACCGAAGGGTTTCTAGGCCATGGGCTGGAGTGGATGTTAGAGGTGGCACAAACCACGTATAACCAGAGAGATGAGGTAGCCCAGAAGAAGAAAGAAAATTACCAGGCTAAGAAACTCATGGCTCTGCGCGCCAGCAACAGCGGCACGGGGGAACCTGCCCGGGGAGGAGGGCGCGGCCGCCTGGGACGCAACCAGTGCGCCATCTGCCGCCAAGAGGGCCACTGGAAGAACGAATGCCCTCAGGGAAGAACCGGAGGCAGGGGAGGCCGGATTCCTGGCACCATCCCCATGGGAGATGGCACTGACTTAAGACCCTGGGGTGCGACTGGGGGACCCTCCAGGGGACGAGGAAGGGGAAGAGGAGGCCTTTGGTACCCGCCTGGGAACCGAGGACAGGCTGAAGCCATGAGCCTGCAGCAACACCAGGATGAATATTAGGACAGACCGGGCCCAACTAATTTAGGTTCCCTTGAGCCCATGGTCAAAATGCAAGCAGGGAACCACATGATTCCTTTTATGGTGGACACGGGTGCCGCTTACTCGGTCGTCCCAACCCCCATTGCGAAACTAACTACAGAATCCATTAATATAGTGGGAGCCACTGGAAAGTCCCAGCAGGCACCATTTCTACAGCCGGTCACCTGCAAATTAGGAGGCCAAGTGGTGCAGCATAATTTTCTGTATGTCCCTGAATGCCCTATTCCATTGCTGGGAAGAGACTTGTTGTCCAAATTACAAGCCCAGATCACTTTTAAACCATCAGGAGAGGCCACCATGTCCACAATGCCACCCGGAGAATTGGTTGTGGAAGCACCCCTGAGGGAGTATTGGCGCCTCATGATGATAAAAGAAGAGGAGGGGCCCATTCCAACCAGCCTCCTAGAACAAGTAAATCCTGAAGTATGGGCTGAAGGCAACCCTCCTGGCATGGCTAAAAATATACCCCCAATAATTGTAAGGACGAAGCCCTTCGCGAATCCGGTGGCTGTGAACCAGTACCCCATCCCTCGAGCAGCAACAAGCCTTCCAAGGCCTCAAGACGGCCCTACAACAGGCCCCAGCACTGGGAATCCCAAACCCAGAGAAGCCATTTACCCTTTATGTGGATGAGGACCAAGGAACAGCGAAAGGGGTCCTTTGCCAGAAACTAGGAAGTTGGCAACAGCCTATAGCCTATTTGTCTGAAAGGCTGACCACCACGGAGCAAGGCCTGCCCCCCTGCATGCGGGCAGTAGTAGCAGTGGCCTGCTTGCTTAATAAGGCTGACAAGTTTGCCTTTGGACAAGACATCACATGCGTCACCCCACACGCAGTACCCGCCCTACTGGATATGAAGGGCACTTACTTCCTATCCCAAGCTAAGATGATGAAGTGCCAGACTTTGCTGATGCACCCACGCTTGAGGTTCCGTGTCACAGAGGCCCTCAACCCAGCTACTCTGTTACCTGTAGGAGAGGAAGAGGAGCCAGCCCACGATTGCATACAGGTCATGGACGAAGTCTACTCCAGTAGACCAGACCTTAAGGATGAAGCCAATCCAGCGTGGCCTTCCTGGTTTGTGGATGGCAGCAGCTTCGTGGAAGAGGGACAACGGAGAGCAGGATATGCCATCGTGGCCCTCGAGGATGTAGTCATTGAAGCCTGCCCCCCCCACCAGGAACATCAGCTCAACTGGCAGAAATTACTGCTTTGACACGAGCCCTGCGCCTGGCTGAAGGTACAGATGTTAACATCTATACGGACTCTAAGTATGCTTTCCTTACCCTGCACGCTCATGGCGCCCTCTGGAGAGAACGAGGACTGCTGACCTCGAAAGGGAGCCCTGTGGCCCACCCACAAGCACTCTTGGATCTCTTGGATGCAGTGTGGGCACCCCGCCAAGTGGCCGTTGTGCACTGCTACGGCCACCGGACAGGATCCAGTGATGACGCCCGAGGAAATCGTTTGGCAGATCGAATAGCCAAAGAGGCGGCGCGACGGCCAAACCCGCCCCCCCCCCGTTGCTGCCTTGATACCTGAGCAAGTCTTGGACACCAGCCTCAAGCCCCACTATACCACCCAGGAGGAAATGACAGCCAACACTGAGGGACTGGACATTTCGAAGGATGGCTGGTACCTTACCCCAGATGACCGCGTGTGGGTCCCAGAATCCCTAGCCCGCCAAGTGGTTCAGCGCTACCACGATTCCTTACATGTAGGACCAGATGCCATGACCAAGCAGCTGGGAAAGTGTTTTTACATCTCCAAGCTCTATCAACTGGCTTCACAAGTCTCTAAGCGTTGTGCCCTATGCCAGAAGAACAACCCTAGGGCCGGCCTTCTGCCTCCTCCAGGAATTCAACATTGTGGCACAGCACCCATGGAAGATTTGGTTGTGGATTTTACCGAGCTGCCCCGTTGTGGCCTATATCGTTACCTCCTTGTGGCTGTGTGCACTTATACAGGGTGGGTGGAGGCCTGGCCCACCAAAACTGAGCGGTCATCTGAGGTTGCTAGGTGTCTGCTCCGGGAAATCATTCCCCGCTATGGCTTGCCCCGCTCCATAGGGTCGGACAATGGTCCAGCTTTTGTGCACAAAGTTTTGCAGGAGATAGCTAAGCTCTTGCAGATAAATTGGAAGTTACATAGTGCATACCGACCCCAGAGTTCTGGAAAAGTAGAGAGGATGAACAGGACTTTGAAAAATCAACTGTCCAAATTGACACAGGAGACAGGGTCCAATTGGGTAGCGATGTTGCCCCTCGCCCTGCTCCGGGTTCAAAGTCTCCCATCCAAGTGAACCCATCTCTCTCCCTTTGAACTGATGTTTGGGAGACCTGTTCCCTATGTACGCATGATTTCCCCCACCCCGGTCCAGGATGTTGAAACAGATCATTATGTGCAGTCACTCTCCCGCACTCTTCTTTCTCTCAACAGGTGGACCCAGGCTCGTACCCGTGTGTACTGGTCGAGCCCCTACACCGCTTCGAGCCTGGCAATGATGTGTGGGTGAAAGACTGGGCCCAAACTCCGCTACAGCCTTGCTGGAAGGGTCCCTACACTGTGCTTCTCTCTACACCCACTGCTGTCAAGGTTGCTGGCATCGCCCCTTGGGTCCACCATACTCGTGTGAAGGCGGCATCATCAGACTGGACTGTGTCTCCTAACCCGCAAGATCCTCTTCGGCTGACCATCTCCAGGCGCCCGACGGACGACTGCCCTGCTGCTGTCACTCCAGGAAGCTGATAGCTCTACGCACGGCCGAAGAAAAGGATGGGAGGGGTACCCAACGCCAGTACCCCCAATGTTCCTGATAGCCAAGCCCTTCCCCACGCCCCTATTGTGCCTGATATGTGGTGGGAGGAGCCCTGGACTCCCGGGGCTTGGTGGGCTTGGGTTCTGTGTATGCCCTTGATTTTCTTGATGCTTTTGTATTTCTGCTGGCATGAACGCCCCCGGGATGGATGGGGAGGATATTTACTATGGTTGCGGGCCCCCTGGTGCTTTTAGTGCTTCTCTGCTTCTGTATTCCCTGGTTGATGCAATGCATGCAGAATATGATGGAGAAAATGATGTCTCACATGATGGGCCCCCGTGTGATAGCTTACCTGAGGGAGTATCGCCCTGTCCCTGTTGATGCACCTGACGGTGATCAAGAAGAAGAGGAGGGAGTGAAGGGAGAGGAGTGAAGAGGTGGGGGAAGGTAAAAACTCCATCGTGCTTTAGCTAGCTCTTGTTTTTAGCTATGCAGATTTAGCTCTGTGGTTTCCTATCTGCTTCAGTTGTGGTGAGCTAGCTTCTCACCTCAGCTGTGCAAAATGCAAACATTTATAATGCAAAGCAAACAATATGCAAAGGGGGGGGAGGAGGGCTTAGCTAGCCCAATAAGGTAATAAAGTGTATCTCTGCCTGTTGATTGGGGAGCAACTGGGGGCCAAGCTTGCAGCTTCAGTATAAGAATGCTTGGAAGACAATAGGGGGGGCCAGTCTTTTGGAAGCTATTCCACTGGCTAACTCTGCGCAGATTTTGCAATAAACCTTTTTCTCTGTGGAACCCACCCTGGTGTATATTTGACTCCTTCATGCTAACAGCAGGGGCAGGTGACTGGATCCGGACCCCTTAGGATCAGATATCCTAACAGATCTACAGGGTGGCAATTTCAAAAGTCTTTATAAGGCCTTGTGCGCCATTTTTCTGGGTTCCTCCTCTCTCCTGCGGGTGAGGGGAGCACCCTGTTGCAACAGTTCAATAAAGATCAAGCTTACTAGCTGCTTTGCTTCTCAATATTCTCTGGTTGGCCTGTTATTTTCTCCTACCAATAGGGAACCTATGTAAGGACTCTATATGGGCTCTTGGATACCCCATAAGGGAAAAGAGCAATTTTTGTTTACAACACTCCTCTCCTCCCAGACCATGGGGGGGCACTGCAGGTTCCCCATGCCTGCTTTACTTGAAGATACCTTCATGCAAGCTTTGTCGTGAGATATACCAGCCAAGTCAAAACTCAACTCCGCGTCACATAAAGGTTTGTGCAATTTGACAAAAGGCAATGACTTGAAGCATAGTCGCCTCACATTCTGACTCCATGGCTAGGCCCCAAAACAGTTTTCTGCCAGAAGTAAAGGACAAGATGGCATTCCCTCCCTATTCCACATACGGAAGCCAGTCCTCAAGATGGGCTCCTGTCCGCCACATCTAGTCTTGAGGCATTGATGGGTAGGTCTAAGAAAGCCCCTGCTGATCTTCTAGACACCTTCTTCGTGTGCCTCCTCCATGAGAGATCCGGAGATTGGCAACATGAGAGCAGGGCCTTCTCTGCAGTGGCTCCCCGTTTGTGAAATGCTCTCCCCAATGACGTTTGGCTGGCGTCTTCATTAAACACCTTTAGGCACCAGGCGAAAACATTCCTCTTTAACCAGGCCTTGGCTGATCGACATTCAATGCCCTTTTAAAATGTGTTGTGGAAGGGGGAATTATTGGGCTGTTTTTGTTTTTATTATGTATTTTCTGTTTGTTTGTTTTTAATATGTTGTGAACTGCCCTGAGATCTATGGTTATAGGGTGGTATACAGATTAAATAGACAGATTGACTGACTGACCAGGGGCGGAGGAAGAGGGTGTGGTGGGGGCGGGTCACCACTGAGGGGGTGACAAAATGTCGGGCAGCACTCACTGCGGGGCTTGCAGTGTGCCCAAGCCTCGCATCTCTCCTGGAAGTGACGCGGTGGCTTGGGCGTCTGCAGGCTTCATGCTGCCCCACACGGTCTGCCCGCTGCCTCCCCCTCAGCTGTAGGGCAGCTGAGTGGGAGGAGGCAGGCAGACTCCTTGGAGGCCCTACGGAGTGCCCTGCCCCGTCTGCCCCTGCCCCTGGGCGCAGGGCACAAGCGCTGCCCCAGGCACCCAATTGGCTTGCTCCATCGCTGTGACTGACTGACTTTCTTAAACATGGGTCGCAGGTATTCTTCATTTCCCATTGCCCCTGACCACTGGCCATGCTGGCGAGGAATGATGGGAGCTGTAGTCCAACAACATCTAGGGACCCAAGGTTGGGAAAGGTTGGAATTTGGGGGATGGCAAGCAAGGAAGGGCTCCAACTCAGGGCTGCTCTTAAGAAAAAATAGAAAGCAATGAGGAATCCAATTGTGCATCTCCTGTAGCTTATTGAGTCTGACCTTGAGTTCTGAAAGCTCCTCAAATTCTTTGGTAGGGGTTTTCCCCAGCCCTGTGCCAACCTTTGATACAACATGTACTTTGCTACTTAGCCTTGATCTCACCGAAATCAGCGGATTTAGCAGGGTTCAATGGGAGGCAGGATTTACCAGTGCTTAGAAACTTACCGTATTTTTCGCTCTATAGCACGCACCAGACCATAACACGCACATAGTTTTTAGAGGAGGAAAACAAGAAAAAAAATATTCTAAACGAAACAGCGGATGTATGATTTTTGTGGTTCATGCTGTGGCCGCAGACATGTGATCTGACAGTGAGTTTGGAGTAGCCCAATGCAAAAATCCTGAGGATCCATGTGGATCCATGCTTTGTAACCACGGAGGAGGGAAGGAAGGGGAACCATGGATCCTCTGCTCATGACTGCAGCAGATCCCCCCCGCCACCCGCAGGCATTCGCTCCATAACACGCACAGACATTTCCCCTTACTTTCTAGGAGGAAAAAAGTGAGTGTTATGGTGCAAAAAATACGGAAACCCATTTCCAATACCCAGACTCAGTTTACTGCACAGATTTGGCAAACTGTGTTTAGCAATGCCGCTCTGTATAGAAGCGGGTTAATGAGCCATGTTGCAAGAGTACGGCTTTCAAATACTGCTTCGTTTACCAAAGGAATATATGTTTAAATAGCTCGATTTCTTAGCCACCTTAGCGGTATATTAGTATTACTAATACCTAGGTTTTAGTACTAAGTAAACAAGGCTGCCTTCAGACAAGTACACAAGAGGCATGTGACATTGTTCAAATAAGTAACTTATTAACTCATAAAGAAAACTCATTCCTGAACTAGGTTCAGCATAAAAATCGACGTCAAATATCAGCAGACACCTGTGCTGCGGAAGGATATGTCTGGGGACAGATGAGAAGCATTTATTCTTTTTCCAACGGCCATTTAATTTTGTTAAAATGGTTAAGAAGATGCATGATCTACAAGACTTGGATTTTCATTTTAAGCGACGGTCTCGCTCCCGCAAGTCAAGCGATGACCCTCCTCCCCTCAGCGCAACCGAGAGTACTGGTTCAGTATTCATCAGGTATGTTTAAAAGATTCTTTCCAATCGTTCCATGAGTATTTTGACCTAATGGTTTATAATTATGACCTTGCCGATGACACAATGGATTATTATCTACTGCTTCTAAGTGGGTCACTCAGTGTAGCTGATACATTTCTCCTGGGACGTTAATGAAGTTTCAGTTTTGCATCAAGGATCAGGCCCGGCCAAGCTTGGATTCTGTAAAGGCAGACCCCATAATTAAAATGTTTAGGGATAACTGAATAGAGGCAAGCATTTCTGGCACACCCCATTTAATCTACGCAGCAGTTTTAGAGAGTTCGGTCTCAGTTGGATTTACACAAGCTTCATTTTCTTTTTTCTTTTTTCAAAAAAATTTATTAATTTTCCAAAAAAAAAATTAAACGAACAGACATATAAACAAACAAACATAAATCTCCACCGTATTAAATCAAGCTTAGTTACATTGTTAAGTGACTTCCTCGTGTCCCCCTGGTTGAATTTCAATGTATATCATTTTAACGGTTTTCCAAATCCAATATTCTTAAAAAATTAACTTAATCGCTTAACATCTTTCTTTCCAATTCAACATTAAACATATTGATTCATCACATTACATATTTAAATCCTAAGCCTATCTGGTATTTGTAAGTTTTTCGAATTAGTTTAACTTAACATATTTAACTAAATAGTCTTTAAATTTCATCCATTCTTCCTGGTACTCCTCCTTCTTCTGGTCATGAACTCTTCCAGTCAGGTCAGCTAGCTCCGAAAAGTCCATCATCTTCATCTGCCAATCTTCCACCGTTGGTACTTCTTGTGTTTTCCAATTCTTAGCTAATAAAATTCGAGCAGCAGTTGTGGCATACAAAAATAATTTAACATCTTTCTTGGGCAATTCCAGACCTGTTATTCCAAGAAGAAAGGCCTCTGGTTTCTTAATAAATGTATATTTCAACTTTTTTCAATTCATTATAAATCTTCTCCCAGAGGTCTTTCACTTTGGGGCAGGTCCACCACATATGATAGAAAGTACCTTCTTTTTCTTTACATTTCCCACACAAGCTTCATTTTCACTCCCATAGTAGATATGATGGAAATAGGAGTGCATGGAGATTCTGTCGTTTTCTGGATGTTCTAACACGGCGCTTTAAATATATAAATAGTATGCATTTATATGTGCATTCTGGTTTCTTTTTTAAAAAAATGTATAATGTACATTTGCGTTGCCATATTTCAAAAAGTGAAAATCTGGACACAAAAGTTGTTGAACTTTTTGAGTAGTTGAGCTTTTTTTTTATTAAATTCACCCGAATTGACATTCCCAACGTGGGTGGCCATATGTCTGGATTTTCCCGGACATTTAACCATCTTTCTCCCAGACACTGTTTGCGAAGGCCGAATTCCAGCTATGTCTGAGACGTATGGCAAGCCTAAGCAATGCAATCATGGAACCGAACTGAGTAAAATACATTAAAATGACAGTACAGTGGTACCTCGGGTTAAGTACTTAATTTGTTCCGGAGGTCCGTTCTTAACCTGAAACTGTTTTTAACCTGAAGCACCACTTTAGCTAATGGAGCCTCCCGCTACCGCCACGCCGCCGGAGCATGATTTCTGTTCTCATCCTGAAGCAAAGTTCTTACCCCGAGGTATTATTTCTGGGTTAGTGGACTATGTAACCTGAAGCGTATGTAGCCTGAAGCGTATGTAACCCGAGGTACCACTGTAGTGGATTGGAAATAGGCAAATTATCCCATCTCTAGAGCTAATGTGGTCTAGCTCCCCAACCCACAGTACTGCCACAGCACACAAAAGGTGAGATGTGGACCGAAAGAATTTTTGATTTGGATATCCCAGGTTACCAGACACACTGGGGGTACCTTGCCCAAGCCCCTCTCCTCACCCCCTAAAAATGCTGGAGCTGGCCCTTTCTAGTGCACTTTAAATCAACTTTGTGATGAAATCTAAGCCTACTTCACAGGTATCAGGAATCAGTTTCACGGTTGCACTGTGAAGCTTCCACAAGCAAGAACTTTGGCATCCTTACATAATGCTATCAAACTGTTGATGAGACACTTTGATATTGCTGACGTCGCAAATGTGAGAAATTGTACAGAAGCAAATATTCCGTCTCCCCTCCCAAATTAGATGTCTCGTTCGAATCAGCTATTGAATATCAACAACTGCCAATAACGCTGAGAAATGCAATCATTTCTGTGTGCTTTGTGTTGAATCAGCAGCGGGCAATTAAGTCGAGCTAAATAAAATGGGCACCAGCTTTCTTGATAGAAGCTGCAGCCACACAACATTTTATTCTAGAATCAATAGAAACTGAGTGCTTGCTTTTTTATATCGTAGTCCACACAAAATCTAGTTCTACTGCATATTTTTGCTCTTGAAAAGTGTTTCTTAAAAAACTAGTTTTGCTGTGAAAATAAAAGTTCGTTGTTTTACCCCATGGTGTGTCCTTTTGAAACGGGCGCACCTGCCCATTGATGCTATAGGTGGGAGTATACCAAGACCACAATCACCGCTTCCTTTCTCCACTTGGGGCATGTGTAAGAAGGAAAAGGCATGGATGACCTAATCATGAGAAGGGTTTCCAACTCAATATAAAGTAACCACACTTTGTGGACAAGCAGGATCTATAAGGTCCTGATTCCTACCCTCAAACAAAAGACTTGGACTCACTGTTCAGGAAATCCTGATAGTTGTATCAAGGAAGTTAGCACATGACCTTTGCATCAGCTCAGGTTACAAGTTGAAGGCTCAAAAGAGACCTTGGCAGAGGCTAGGATAGGTAGCTAAGCTTAAGCTTGAGCAAAAGAACCCCAGTGCATGGCACACCCAGTGCTTTTTTCTGGGGGTACACAGGGGTACGCATAGCCCTAAACATTTTGTGAATCTTTGTACTTTTGTCCATTTACTATATTCATTTTTCCCGATTTGAGCTATAAAATGGTGGTTTTCTTGAGTCAAAATGAGAGTACCCCTAAACTTTTCTCTTTTTTTTTAAAGGACTGGACACAGCCCTCCCACATGTTTTAAAATGCTTCTCCCAGTCGCCACTTGAGCGATCTCCACCCTCACCTAAGAATCCTCCTTGCCCTTGGGCAGATGCCACCATTCCTGTCTCATTTCGCTTGGCATCACCTGGGGCATATATTGAGGATGAGCATGAATAATTCTGGATTGATTAAAAAAAACCCACATTTTTGTGCTACAGGTGGGTTAGTGCGTACACAGCCTTAGACTCTGATCTGCTTGTGGTTTATTTAAAGTACAGTGGACGCTCAGGTTGGAAACGTGATCCGTGCGGAAAGCACGTTCGCAACCTGAAACACCGCATCTGCGCATGCGTGGGTTGTGATTCGGCACTTCTGTGCATGTGCAAAGCGTGATTTAGTGCTTCTGCATGTGTACAAGTGCCAAAACCTGGAAGGACCCGTTCCAGTACTTCTGGGTTTGGTTCAGTGCGCAACCTGAAATTGCACAACCCGAAGCGTCTGTAACCCGAGGTATGACTGTATTGTATGGTGTATTCTCTGTACCTATGGACAGCCAGTGTTCTCAAGGTACTTATGGAAGTGGATTGTGTAAAGTTTGCAACACAGTGTTGTTTGGGCCTTCTGCCAGTCTTGGGACTATCACATCTCATCTTGAAAGGAATGAGATATATACCAGTCCACCTCCACCACTTAATGAATTTCCTTCTGTTACCCTGTACCCTCAAGTATAAAAAGGTAACCTGGCTGTTGCCGTGAAAGCTGTTAACCTTCAAAAGGGGAATTGAATTTGTCCAAACTGCACTAGAAAAGCACGTTCAGCCATGTATTTCATTCTCTAGCAGTAACAATTTTAATTCTGCACACAGACAGCCAAGCCAAGCAGGTAATCAAAATAAATTAGAAAAACCCTGTCCTCTGATTCCTGGTAGATATCTTTGTTATGTTGTTTTCCCCCCTAAACTACAAGACACGGACCCTACATATTAGTTAAGGGTGAACTCTTCCATACGGTCACTCTTTCTCTTCCTTCCCCAACTTCCAGCTGCTCAAAGTACTCTCAGAATCCCGTTTGCAATCCCACCTCGGGAAAGAAAACCAATCCTATTAGAGTTGCGTAATAGCCAATCAAAACAGCGTGTTTGGCTCCCCTTTTCCCCTGCTAATCAATATATAGCATTTTTATCTTATGCCTTCTCATCAAAAGACTTGGATTTCTCTGAATGAAGGCATACATGTGCACACAGAGAGAGATGCACACTAATTTGTTGATATTTGCTATAGCCCAACAATCCTGTTCCATTATAGCAAATGCCTGACCTGCTCTGGATCCTATAACCAGTGCTCTTTTTCTAGAAAAAGAGGTGTCGGAACTCACCATGAACACCTCCCTCGTTCTCTTGGAATGGCACCTACTTGAGAGGTGCCAGAATTGAGTTCCGGCAAGTTTTGGCTGAAAAAAAGCCCTCCTATAACAGATAGAGCAGGGGTTGGCAACCTCAGGCCCATGGGCTTAACCCGGCCCATGGACCCCTGCCACCTGCTCAGTCGGCTCCTGTGCACCATGCTAAACCAGCACAGAGCAGAGCAGGGACCGCCTCCCGCAACGCTGGCTGGCTTCCCATTGGCTGCAGGAAGGTCCGGCAGCCAATGGGAAGCTGCACATGCCTCCTCTGTGTTGGAAGGAGCGCCGTAAATAGCGTTTGCGCGTGTGTGCACACTCTCTGGCCCATTGCGGCGTCTGCGGGACCGTGAACCAGCCCAAGCCACAAAATCTTTGCCGACCCCTGGGATAGACAGATATAACTCTAGAAATCGTTTAACTGTTGTTGTTTAGTCGTTTAGTCATGTCCGACTCTTCATGACCCCATGGACCAGAGCACGCCAGGCACTCCTGTCTTCCACTGCCTCCCGCAGTTTGGTCAAACTCATGCTGGTAGCTTCGAGAACACTGTCCAACCATCTCGTCCTCTGTCGTCCCCTTCTCCTTGTGCCCTCCATCTTTCCCAACATCAGGGTCTTTTCCAGGGAGTCTTCTCTTCTCATGAGGTGGCCAAAGTATTGGAGCTTCAGCTTCACGATCTGTCCTTCCAGTGAGCCCTCAGGGCTGATTTCCTTAAGAATGGATAGGTTTGATCTTCTTGCAGTCCATGGGACTCCCAAGAGTCTCCTCCAGCACCATAATTCAAAAGCATCAATTCTTCGGCGATCAGCCTTCTTTATGGTTCAGCTCTCACTTCCATACATCACTACTGGGGAAACCATAGCTTTAACTATACGGACCTTTATCGGCAAGTTGATGTCTCTGCTTTTTAAGATGCTGTCTAGATCGTTTAACTATACAGATAATATTTGACAGCTATCCACACGGTGCCACCAGACAGATACCCTTGGGAATCATCATGATTGTGACCTGAGAAAGATAGAAAGAAAAAGAGGCCATCAGGTTTGCTTCCTGGATTGTATTTTTACCTTCAACATCTAGCAGAGTTTATGTTGGCCTTCCCCAAAAGATGTTTCTAGCAAGGGCACTATCATTTATACAAGTGCACATCTTGACATGTCTCCACGATGATGAAGTATCTGCGACTCGGGGATGGAGACGGAATCAATCTAAAATGACTGTGGTGTAGCAAGCAATATTTGTCTGGATCGTGCCCAGCTGACCTGTGTCCCAAATAATGAGACTTACTGTGCAAAAATCGATTCTGTTGCACTCTGATCTCATTTCAAGGGGGCTAATCATGTTGGCTGGCGTTGCAGCAAACCGCCAACCATTCTCAATACTGTTAAACGGTTTACAAAAATAATGAATTATTTGTCTCTCTCTGTAAATATATACATGTTATACATGTGCATGCACACAAACATCAGTTAATCGGGGACGGACGGACTGCAATACAAAACAATAAAATTCCTCAAAAAGCAAAAAACAAAACCCTGCAGCATATTTTGAAAACCTCTTAAGATTCTCCTGCTGGTAAAGGCATTCGAAGTAGGGTCCTCATCGCTCTGTATCAAGTATGTTCTCCCGTTGGGTTTTATTTGTATTTTAACATAGACAGATTCTTTTTTTAAAAAAAAAAACCTTCTAAAAATACTTTTGAAAAGATGGAGACATCCCCTTCCAGTTCGTAATCCTATTTTATAGGTAAAGGTAAAGGTACCCCTGACCATTAGGTCCAGTTGCGGATGACTCTGGGGTTGCGGCGCTCATCTCGCTTTACTGGCCGAGGGAGCAGGCGTTTGTCCGCAGACAACTTCTGGGTCATGTGGTCAGAATGACTAAGCCGCTTCTGGCGAACTGGAGCAGCGCATGGAAACGCCGTTTACCTTCCTGCCAGAACGGTACCTATTTATCTACTTGCACTTTGACGTGCTTTCGAACTACCAGGTTGGCAGGAGCCGGGACTGAACAACGGGAGATCACCCCGTTGTGCGGATTTGAACCGCCAGCCTTCTGATCGGCAAGCCCTAGGCTCTGTGGTTTAGACCACAGTGCCACCCGTGTCCCTGTCCTATTTTAGAATACTGCAAAAGATGATTTTTGTAGATTTATTTGTGCTTCCTGAAACGGTTGGTTTGTCTCTACGGCAGGATAAGCTTTACTTGCTGGAATTTATTCAGTGCATGGATTAGCTGCAGTAAGCAGGGCTTTGCAATGTGACCCCACGACCCCCTTGGGCATCCTTACAACATGTTGGGGGGGGGTGATTCTCAGACCTAGGTTCCAACCCCCATTCAGTGACGAAAATCACGGGGTGACCTTGGGCCAGTCATTCTCTCTCAACCACTCCTACGTCACGGGAGTTATTGTGACCATAAAATGGGATGCTTCTGCCTTGAACTCCTTCGAGGAAAGGTGGGCTGTAAATGGAGTAAGTGAATGAATAACATGATCTGCCAATATATAGCATGTGATGCTGTTTCATAAATTCATCTTGCTACGTGTATGCCAATTACTCATGCTGCAGGAAACCAGAGCCAGTCATAGATTTTCTCAGGATCTTACAGTACAGAGAATTATTATTATTATTATTATTATTATTATTATTATTATTTATTATTTATACCCCGCCCATCTGGCTGGGTTTCCCCAGCCACTTTGGGCGGCTTCCAATTGAGTGTTAAAAACAATACAGCATTAAATATTAAAAACTTCCCTAAACAGGGCTGCCTTCAGACGTCTTTTAAAAATAAGATACAATCATACCTCGGGTTGAAGTAGCTTCAGGTTGAGCATTTCGGGCTGCGCTCCGCAGCGACCCAGAAATAACAGAACATGTTACTTCTGGGTTTCGGCACTCGCACATGCGCAGACACTCAAAATGACGTCACGCACATGCGCAGAAGCAGTGAATCGTGACCCGTGCATGCTCAGTTGCACAGACGCAGGTTGCGTTTGCTTCAGGATGCAAACGGGGCTCCGGAACATATCCCGTTCGCATCCAGAGGTACCATTGTACAGTGGTACCTCGGGTTACATACGCTTCAGGTTACAGACACTTCAGGTTACAGACTCCGCTAACCCAGAAATAGTACCTCGGGTTAAGAACTTTGCTTCAGGATGAGAACAGAAATCATGCTCCAACGGCCCAGCGGCAGCAGGAGACCCCATTAGCTAAAGTGGTGCTTCAGGTTAAGAACAGTTTCAGGTTAAGAACAGACCTCCAGAACGAATTAAGTACTTAACCCGAGGTACCACTGTATCTGCTTATTTCCTTGACATCTGATGAGAGGGCGTTCCACAGGGCAGGCGCCACTACCGAGAAGGCCCTCTCTCTGGTTCCCTGTAACCTCACTTCTTGCAGTGAGAGAATTGCCAGAAGGCCCTCGGAGCTGGACCTCAGCGTCCGGGCAGAACAATGGGGGTGGAGACGCTCTTCAGGTATACAGAAAACAATGCCCATATCCATCTGTGGCATTAAGTGCATGAACAGGTACACCTTAAATGTTCAATGCATTCTGCTGAAACTACAGGTTTTTTTAGTTTTAGTTCAGGTGTGGTGCCCTTTCCTCTTATTTTTATATTACCTGTGGGCAGTCACATCCATTCTTTGAAGTGTAGCTGATTAAGAGTTCGGTTTTCTCAGTTACTCAGAAGCACCGCTAAAAAAATAATATTATATCCTTCTTGCTATGAAAGTGGTCAATCCACACAACCGTATTCGCAAATCTTTGATCTTCTAAGTAATTTAATGAGAGGATTTCAGGCTGGCCAAAATCCATACCATTGTCGGCTATGCGACAGGCAAATGATCCGAGGCAGTAATTAGATAAACAGCTGAAAACTGACAATCAGGAGCCAATGAGGGAAGAGAAAGGTATTCATTTCTCATATATATTTGATTAGTGCTGCTGAAGAGATATGAGTGGTGATGGTGAATAAGGTTAAGACTCCTCCAGCTCTCCTCCTGTAGTATTCTTGGTATTCAAACACCGCATATATCTAACTAATGTCTCCTCAGTCATACGTATCAGTTCCTCTTCTCCAGAATCCATGAGTAATGCCTGTGCATTTTCTAAACCGAAAGCCTAGATGCTGACATCTCAAGCCTTGCTCCTACTTCCAAAGGGAACATTCTTCTCCTTTTGTGCATGCCTTTAAGTAGCTTTTTTTTTCCTTCAACCTGGTGCATTCATGATATTTTGGACTACAAATCCCATCAACCTCTGCCAGCATGGCCAATAGTTAGGGTGATGGGCATTGTAGTCCAACAACATCTGGAGGGCACCAGGTAGAGAACGTCTGCTTGGAAGAATAGGGTGAGCATTCTTCTGCCCAGTTCCATTATCATTACCGTGTGAGTATCCCACATAGCGGGTGGCGCTGTGGGTTAAACCACAGAGCCTAGGACTTGCCGATCAGAAGGTTGGTGGTTCGAATCCCCGCAACGGGGTGAGCTCCCATTGCTCGGTCCCAGCTCCTGCCAACCTAGCAGTTCAAAAGCACGTCAAAGTGCAAGTAGATAAATAGGTACCACTCTGGCGGGAAGGTAAATGGCGTTTCCATGTGCTGCTCTGGTTCACCAGAAGCGGCTTAGTCATGCTGGCCACATGACCCGGAAGCTGTACGCCGGCTCCCTCAGCCAATAAAGTGAGATGAGCGCCGCAACCCCAGAGTCAGCCATGACTGGACCTAATGGTCAGGGGTCCCTTTACCTTTACCTATCCCACATAAGGAAAGGAGACAGGAAAGGAGGGTAAGGGGAGTGCACAGATGACAGTATAAAGAACATAAATTGCAGGTAAGCAAACTGTCCTCCCATCTGGGTGTTCATTTTTCTGGGCAGGCAAAACTGGGAGATCTGGAATGCCTAAGGAGCAGAGCAGTTTATGGATGACAGCCCTATCAAGAAGAGCATTTGTCTATGCGTTTGAGTCCAATGCACAGTGTTTCGCAGATTTAGATAGATTTGATCAAGCAGCCTTCCTCCAGAGCTCCATGACTAGGACTGTTCTGGAGAAGGTAAAGTAAATGTTTCATGGTTGTTAATGGAATGTCCTCCAACGAGGCAAGGAGAGGTTGTTCTGCCAACTCACAGCATGTGATAGTGGAAACAATCCAGTGGGAGGGAAGTCACTGAGGAGAAGTCATTCAGGAGAAGTGTGATGAACCTTTTATGGCTCACCATAACAAATCAATAGGGTTCTTCCCTGTCATTGGAACGGTTCCATCCTGTCATAAGGCCCGGAGCCTAGGGTCTGGAGAGCATGTTGATTATTAGAGCCAGGCAGGAGAACTGGAAGGAGAAGACTAAATGAAAAATAGAGATGATTTTAGGAACAGTGAACTAGATGTCAAAACACTTTTCCCTGGTAGATGCAGCGCTATGGTGAGTAAGAGAGTCTGAAGCATAGGTCACATGTCCTCCTGGGAAAGGTGTTAGGTATGAGCAACACTAACTTGAAAGGAAGGAGACAAAGGTTGCAGGTAGACAGAGGTTCAAAGTGTTTCCATATCAATTGGATAAGAACTAAGGACTAACTCCAAAGCAGACCCGAGCCTATTACAGGGGACCTCAGGTTGCCAGGGCCTTTAAAGAAGCATTTAACAAATGGGTGCACAAACACACTGTGTCTTTCCCAAGGAGGCCAGAATGCAAACCCCCCCAAAAAACCCAACACTGCTAAAGAGGGCAGGAGAGAAGAATACAAAGACTTCCAGTGTGTACAATGTGAACATTCCCTCCAGCATATCCAGGCCAAAAACTAGGACTCGCATCTTCTGGGTTGCACTCCTGCTCAAGTCATGTGATCCCCATGAGAGTATGGAGCCCCAAAAATTGGGGGGGGGCGCAGTGCTGTCACACATGAGCACAAAACCCCAAAATTGGATGGCCTGATTTAAGGGGTATCTGGCTCTTGAGGGGTATGATAGTCTAGGACAGAATTCAGTCAATGTGATGGGACCCGGCAAGCAAATGAGAATGGGCCCCATCACAAAACATAGGATTTTCCTGCTGAAGGCTTCCTGGTATGAAGGCTGTCCATCGGAAGATTCCATTAGGGCTAGATCAGGGGTGGGTAACCTCAGGCCTGGGGGCCAAATGCGATCTTCCACGCTTCTGTATCTGGCCCTCAGGAACCTCCAACGCCATACCTCTTCCCAAGTTACATCATCTCTACCCAGGCTATTCCCCTCACTGGCCCTGTTTTGTGCCCTCCTTGAGTTCCGATAATGGCTTTTATTTGCCTGGATGAAGGATCTTGCTGTTCTAGCTTCTGGCTTAGCCCCTCAGTCCCTTCCTCCACCTCCTGGAAAAGCCCCCAAGAGCCGCGCGGAGCGTGTGTGTGGCTCTTGGGGGCTTTTTCCCAAGTCAGTGATGGGCTGCCCTTCTCCCTCCTGGGGGAAATGCCTGCAAGCGCCGCCACACACGCTCCACACAGCTCACGAAAGGGAGCGCTGAGCAGAGCCTGGGATGCATACAGGCTCTGCTCAGCGCTCCCTTTAAAGAATTTTTTTTTCTTGCATGCCCCCTCTAAATACTAGGTGCGTCTTATGGTCGGGTGCGTCTTATGGAGCGAAAAATACGGTGCGTAGAAGGTAGAAGAATTGCTAGGTGAAGGAGAACCATGACTGGCATTGTCATATATGGGGAAAACATATGTGGAGAGGTCTTCTTACGGAACCAGTTGGCATCCCCCTAAACAGGTTGGCTATTATGGTTTGCTTCTTAAGTTTCTAGAAACAGTTTGTAATAAACTACTAACAACCGTGAAATGTTAAAGTCAGAATTTGTCACCAGCAGCTGTGTTATATCTCCCTCGGGCTCCAGGAATATAAACAGAACAGAAAGGTGATCTTCAGAATAGGAGACAAACCTAGTTCTGTGACCAAACATTGTGATGTCCTATTTGCGTGTATCTATTTGAAAACATGTGCACTTGAAGTTAGAAATGCATGGCAAAAATTTTCTTTAAGATCCATTTGAAAACCATGCCTGAGAACCAGTGTTCAGCCTGCCAGAGGTGGTGGTGGTGGTGGTGGTGGCTCAGCTTGTGTTTCTGGAACAGCCTATACCCCATGTGGCACAGAAAATCATTTTCGCAGCTGCAGCTTTCAAAGGTTGTCTGTGTGATGCAGCACAGAAATCTGCTGTTCAATGAAAAAAGGATGGAGAATCTCACCAGATGTGTCCCGAGTCCTTGATGTGCCTAAAGCAGCTCTTTCGGATCCTGGCAAAGAAACAGGACCCCAATTAAACTGATCAAGACCTTTCAAGATGATGCCCTTTTTTGTTCATTCATTGTGCAGTGGTTTTTTCAAATGCAGCATGGGATAAACGCCATTCCGGAAGGCAACACTTGCAGTGCAGCAAAATCACATTTCTCCAGCACTGTATGCTGCAGTTCTGACTTCAGAAAGTTTGTTAGAACATATCCACAGCAGGAGGAAGAAGAAACGCACTACAAAATTAGGTATAAATTTACAGAAATGATACCTGGCATTTTATAGCCCTGTAACTTGCCTTAAATTATTCCTCATACTGTAGATGTCTACAGTGGAGCTGGTCCCTCCCTTGATGAACCATAACCTCTAGATTTCACATTTTAAATACAACAGATTTCTAGCATTTGAAAAACCTGAGACAAAACGTACTCATTTCTTCTTCTCATTCTTTTTGAGAAATTAGCCTTACAAAATCTTAGAGACAAAGACTTAATTGTGCATCTTATAACTGCAGCACGTCTTGCTGTTGCTAGACACTGGAGGTCATTAAACGTGAACCTATATGAAGTTTGGTATGCTTATGTCTGGGAATTATTTTTGATGGAAAAGTTAACAGAAACGGTACATGAAAGAAAACAATGTGAGAAACTACGTAACTTTTACATAACGTGGTCCTCCTTTATTACATATGCATCAAAGACAGAACATGCATTTAAACCACCTAAGGCACATGGGAGCATGTGGAATGATATTTTTTAAACCAGCAACTGTAGAAATAATTTTTTATTTGATTATATTACTAATGTAATTACCTGGACATAGTTGGGGCTGGGTTTTTGGGGGGGGGGTTAGGGGAAAACTGTATTTGATTGCTTGTATTTGATTATATGTTGTTCTTATATTCAACTAATAAAATATTCAAAAAAGAAAAGAAAAAGAAATTAGCCTGCTCCCCCTTTTGTTTTGTTTTTAATCTCCCCCTCCCCAAAACATCCTTGCAGAAGCCCTTGTTATTCCTTAAGGCACAAACCATCTATCAAAGACTGACTTGATAATTCTGCCTTGTCTGATTTGAATATAAAATGCCAATTTATCCATGTACATAACACCCTATAAATATGGGCTTTCTGCTGTGTGGCCTCACCACCAGCTCCCTCCCTCTGGTATGCACAAAGCACTTAGGGAAGAAGCAAATTTGATGGCAGTCTCACGAAGATAAGAAAGAGCGGGAGCCTCTGCTGCTTAACATTCTCCAAAGTGCTGTGCGAATGATAGAAATTCCTGTTGCTAACTCTCTGCGTATGTTGGAAGGCTTCGGGGAGAAGAAGGACTTTGTGCCAATCTAACATTCTCCAAAGTTCAGAGCAGATGGGTTAAGACCTCAAGATCTGAAATTATGCAGGATTTCAGAACGGCCATGAAAAATATGAAGAACGGATCTCAGTACAACAAGTAAAAAAAAATTAAAATGTAACAATGGTAGATTTGTTCAAGCGGGTACTGTTCAGCCCTGTATGTAGCATTGCTATATTCTAATCTAAATCATGGCTACAATGTCATGCTAAGTGGGCGAGATGCAATTTTGTTAATCATCTAGATGGGCCGTTTAGGGTGTGGATTGCTCGACTGAATAGGGGCTTCCAATTGTGCTCCATTGGCTTTTCACAGAGATGTTTTCCCTGCATCCATAATACATAGGCTATTAAGACTACATAATAATACAGCTACTATTGAGCTGCGTAGTTGCGTAACAAGATCTTGCCGCAGAATAAAAGCTCACAGTTTGAGAAGATTTTCCATCTGCATTGGCAACTGCTCAGTTTCCTATTTATCTTTTATAAGACTCTGCGGGTTTGAAACTTAAGGCCCCTTTAAAACATTAATTTTTTAATGGCCGTTGAATGGGGAGTAGTTCGTTGACTTCACTCCTCAAAAATCTAGAACCCCGTGTAAGAATCCATCTTGTCCAAATTTGCACAGGTTCCAATCTATGGATTCTCCAAGTGGTGGCATTGCATATAAAGTTGCCAGGTTCAGCCTCTAAGAGGACTTCTGTGTCTTTACGAGTTACACAGAGGGAAGGGAGAACGTCATCAAGTGTGGCTTCTCTCTTTGTTGCCGCACCTGGCTGAATTGTCTCGTCTGTACATCTCTTAAAGAATCACCCTCAGGAGCTGGGCCTGGCAGTTTCTAATTCTGCATGTCTTGTGCCTGTTTTGCAGTACCTGAGGACCAGTGCAAATGGAAATGCTTCGCATCCATAACTCTGGATATGAAACTGAGAACAGGCTGTGGGATTGCACGCTTGTTTCCCACACTCCTTCTAAGTCTTTTCAGCTACTCAGTTAATTTAGAGACCTGATTAGCCCTAATCCGTTATTAACACCATCAGGGACATCAATGACCTATCCAGCATTCATAGTGTTACTGGCCACCCCAATTGCTGCTGGGCAGTAGCAGGATTCCAGGGGTCTTGGCACATAACCAGGGTTTGTGTTTCTTGTGGAAAATGAGGCACAGTGGAGACTCATGTGTTTGTGAAATGTGGTTTATTTTACACTACAGTCATACCTTGGGTTGAATTAGCTTCAAGTTAAGTATTTTCGAGCTGTGCTCTGCGGCGACCCGGAAGTAATGGAGTGTGTTACTTTTGGGTTTCGCCGCATGCGCAGACACTCAAAATGACGTCATGCGCATGCGCAGAAGCGGTGAAACAAGACCCGCGCACGCGCAGACACACAGTCGCGTCTTACATTTACTTCAGGATGTGAACGGGGCTCCGGAATGGATCCTGTTCGTATCCAGAGGTACCACTGTATTTAGAACCTGAATCTTGACACAGAGAGAGAGAGTTCGCAACATTTACATCTCCAGAGGGGCTTGTCCTTCCCAGCAGGGCAACATTGGATCAAGAGGCATCCTAAGCACCATCGCTGTATCGTGCTGTAACAGCCTGCTCCAACCAGCCAGCATTTCTGCCGCCCTTCAGTCTCTGCATGGAGCTCTTCCTGCTCCTTCTTCCCAGAAAATCCCTGCTCCCCAAACCTCTGTTGTGAAAGGACACCCTCTTTTCCTGGGGTGGTATCATGCCCCTTGTGACCCTGACAACCTGCCCCTCTCAATTCTTCTGTTTCTGTCCACTTCTCAGCTGCGGGAAGAACAGCGCCTGCATGAGCAATCGTTCTTAATGGCCCGGTACTTACGTTTTTTGTGTGTTTTTCATAAGGGCATCGCTATCAGCAATCTCCTGAACAGGAGAACTGGTTCAGCCTGTATTTTTCACAGGCCTGGCATATTCCCTTCATATTCCAAAAAGCAGCTAAATTTTACCCTAGCTGGATTAGCTCAGTTGGTGGAGAACCAGACTCTTAATTCTCTGGGTTTTGACCCCCATGTTGGGCAAAATATTCCTGCGGTCCCTTCCAACTTGACAATTCTATGGTTCTAGATAAAGGTAAAGGGACCCCTGACCATTAGGTCCAGCCGTGGCCGACTCTGGGGTTGCGGCGCTCATCTCGCTTTACTGGCCGAGGGAGCTGGCGTACAGCTTCCAGGTCATGTGGCCAGCATGACTAAGCCGCTTCTGGCGAACCAGAGCGGCACACGGAAACGCAGAGCGGTACCTATTTATCTACTTGCATTTTGACGTGCTTTCAAACTGCTAGGTTGGCAGGAGCAGGGACCGAGCAACGGGAGCTCACCCCGTCGCGGGGATTCGAACCGCCAACCTTCTGATCGGCAAGTCCTAGGCTCTGTGGTTTAACCCACAATGCCACCCGCGTCTATGGTTCTATGACCCTTTATTAAACTTATGTATATGGAGAGTCTGCACCGCCCCGCCCCCTAATTCATAACAATGCAAATGTACGAGCACTCAAACCATAAAGCGAGCACAGGGACATTGGCTGCCAGCTCTGTCCCCGACATCCCTGCCTACACAACAGTGCCCATCCCCTCCTCTTGGACGTAGCCAAGGGGGGGCAGGTAGGGGTAGCTGCCCTCCCTAAATCAATAAAAAATACAGAGATTAACTGAGGTTCTGCCCCCCCCAACAAAAAGCCTGCCCCCCCAAAAAAATTCTGGCTATGCCCATGCCTCTCCAGTCCAAAAAAGGGGTGGCATCAGGCTTATGTCACCAATGAGCAAGACAGAAAGAGGAAGAGTCTCAACATGTCGGATGAATGGGCTTAGACTCTCCCGTCACACCTTTTGTCGTCTGTAGTGGAAGCACATACTTCATGCAGGAATAAGCACATGTCCTGATGCCCTCCAGACATTGTGGGATACAAACCACATCAGCACCAGCAATCATGCCCATTCCATAGCCCATTCCTGAGCAACAGCCTCTGGTTAATGAATGAGAAGCAGTCCACAATTGATTGGGCCTGCAGTAATATCCAAATGAGCCAAGAATCTTCCATGCTACACAGAATATGGATACCCGAAGAGCAACTGAGAAGGAGCTCTCTAACGACCGATAGCCGCTTTTGCAATCTGCATGATCTTTCTGCTTTTGTGGTTCATAGGGATTTAGTCTTTGCGTATTCCCAACAACCAAAGACCAAATTAATTATGCATTTTCACAGATTGTGTATTTTCACCAGCTTTCAGTTATTTGTATAGCAGGGGTAGCAAACATAGTGTACTCCAGATGCAGCCATCGTTCCAGACCCTTGGCCAGACCGACTGAGCCTGATGGGACTTGGAATCCAACAACGTCTGTATAGCACCATGCCAGACCCTCTAAGTGTCCCTGTTTTCCAAGGAAAGTCCCCAGATATACATAAGCCGTCCCAGTTTCTGATTTGATCCTGGAACGTCCTGCTTTTCCTCAGAGCATTCCTATTTTCATGGGAGAAATGTTGGAGGGTATGGTAGGGTGTCCCATCTGAAGGCAGCCCTGGTATACAGAAGTTTTTTAACGTTTAATGTTTTTATATAAGTTTTATATAATGTTTTATATAAGTCAAATGGGTGGGGTAGAAATAATAAAATTATTGTCATTATTATTCTGGGATAGGATGTCCCCATTTTCATCAGAGAAATGTTGGAGTATGCCATGCCGACTACCCCTGCTGTATAATATACTACACAATAGCTGCCTGCAGCCTCTGTTTGTCAGAGAGCACTGCAAGGACTGTTAATATATTACTTGCAATGCTTCCTAAGGGAAGAGAGGTATTTGGATGGACTTCATGTGAGTTCAATGAATCCATATACATACACAATGGAGATAAAGCAGGGTTAGCTAATCTGTTTTATTGGACTAATAGTACAATTGTGCAGACTATTAAGTTTCAAAGTTCTCTGCAGGACCATAGTGGACAAAGCAAATATACTAAGAACTAAACTATTCTGATAGGCCCAGGGCAAATACTCTTTTATGCATCTGTGTTCTGGTTTATTGACTTGGAATCATAAGGCACCAGGTTTGAGCCCGCGTGCAAGTAAAAGTTGTTTCCTGTAACAAATAGGATAATTTTGCTAATGCAATGTGCTGGGGGTAGGGGCATCTTGACCGGGGCTCCTAGCAGTCAGACACCAAACGTTGTCTTCTGTGTCACCAGCACTGTCTTCTGTCTGCAAGCCTTGCAGGCTGAATGTTGGCTTCAAAAGGCCATCTAGGTTTCAGTAGCTGCCTTCCTGAATGTCCAGTCAGTTGACGCCATGGGATAGGAAGAGCTCGATAGGGTTTGTTTTGTAGATATGGAATGGGCCAGCTTCCCAGCTCTCCAATGAAGCTCAGAGGGGCTTCCAAACGAAACTTTATAGGCACTCAGTCTGAATGTGCAAAGGGGAAAGGCACAAGGTAAACTTTCCTCCTCAATGATGCTATGCACCAGGTACACCCCTGACCAATGCATAATCAACTTTAGAATGAAGGGAGCTGCTTCACCTGCACATTAGGGTTGGGCGATATATTGATATATCATCCTAAACAGGTTCAAAGTCCATATCATGATATCATTTTCATAATTTCTGACCTGGAAATATATTGCAAATCATGATTGTGTTAGGGCTGGGCCATATATCGTCCTAAACTGGTTCAAAGTCCATATTTCATACTTTTTTATCTGGCCTATTTTGCAAATTAGGGTGGGTAGGTGCTATGCCACAATGTTAAAAACCAGCGAAACTGCACACAGGGTTTTCCTCATTGTTGAAGGTTCCCATTCCCATGTTGGAAACTCTATGCACCAATTAGCTTCAGCAGGGAAGGGCATTCAAGAGCATCACTGAGGGTGAAGGGCTGATGGTTCCCACTTGCCATTTCACACATTCAGCTGAATGCACAAGGAGTGCTTAAGAGCTAAGTGTATTATTAGTAATATTATTATCAGAATTAGAATTTGTAAACCGCCCTATACCCAGAGGTCTCAGGACGGTTCACAGAACGAAATCAAAATATAAAACCACAAAATACATAATCAAAATGAAAACAATAACACCCCCAAGTGTATAGAATTGCAACTATACAGCGAAGCAGAATAAAGCAAAGCAGAATGAAGCGAAGTTGTTTTAAGTCCTTCAACGTAAACCCAGCTGAGAGCAGCAGGACTTGAGGAATCTATTATCACAGAACAAGGAGACCCTGTCCCCTCCAGAGATGCCTCTCATTTTACTGTCATCAAAGAACAATTTGTGAAGGAGGAGGGGGAGAATAACAATGCGACATCACAATCCGAAAGGCCGGATGGTGGAGAAGAATGAACATTTCCCCTGTCCATTGCATCCATAGCACAAAAAAAGTATTTTGGAGACTTATGCATGCTAAGTGAAATACCGTTATTATACTGTAGTTGCTCAATGTTATGTAGGGGAAATAAATTTTATTGCAATAATAATAATAATAATAATAATAATAATAATAATAATTTATTATTTATACCCCGCCCATCTGGCTGGGCTTCCCCGGCCACTCTGGGTGGCTTCCAAAAGAATATTAAAATAATATAATACATCAAACATTAAAAGCTTCCCGAAACAGGGCTGCCTTCAGATGTCTTCTAAAAGCCTGGTAGTTGTTGTTCTCTTTGACATCTGGTGGGAGGGTGTTCCACAGGGAAGGCGCCACTACCGAGAAGGCCCTCTGCCTGGTTCCCTGTAACTTGGCTTCTCGCAGTGAGGGAACCGCCAGAAGGCCCTCGGTGCTGGACCTCAGCGTCCGGGTAGAACGATGGGGGTGGAGACGCTCCTTCAGATATACTGGACCAAGGCCGTTTAGGGCTTTAAAGGTCAGCACCAACACTTTGAATTGTGCTCGGAAACGTACTGGGAGCCAATGTAGGTCTTTCAAGACCGGTGTTATGTGGTCTCTGCGGCCGCTCCCAGTCACCAGTCTAGCTGCCGCATTCTGGATTAGTTGTAGTTTCCGGGTCACCTTCAAAGGTAGCCCCACGTACAGCGCATTGCAGTAATCCAAGCGGGAGATAACCAGAGCATGCACCACTCTGGCGAGGCAGTCCGCAGGCAGATAGGGTCTCAGCCTGCGTACCAGATGGAGCTGGTAAACAGCTGCCCTGGACACAGATTTGACCTGTGCCTCCATGGACAGCTGTGAGTCCAAAATGACTCCCAGGCTGCGCACCTGGTCCTTCAGGGGCACAGTTACCCCATTCAGGAGCAGGGAATCCTCCACACCTGCCCGCCTCCTGTCCCCCCAAAACAGTACTTCTGTCTTGTCAGGATTCAACCTCAATCTGTTAGCCGCCATCCAACCTCCAACCGCCTCCAGGCACTCACACAGGACCTTCACTGCCTTCACTGGTTCTGATTTGAAAGAGAGGTAGAGCTGGGTATCATCCGCATACTGATGAACACCCAGCCCAAGACAGGGACTCAAGATAAATAAATAAATAAATGTAACAGGAATATGTAAGAGTATGTTCTGACACGTTAAAAGAATAAGCCACATACAAAGAGAACAAGAAAAACGAGCCACAGGAAATTGCACATTAGGATATGCGTGACTCTGCAATGGGTTCAATGAAGTTACACAAGTGTTTTAAGGAACTTCAAGTGTTTAATGAGTCATTCACAAGCAACAGTATATTCACCTGCCAGCTGGATTTGGGTGCTGGTTCCTTTAAATGACTGGATTACATTTTTATTTTTACATTAATTCAATACCATTTTAATACTGTATGTTAATACACCATGGGAACCTCTTGAGTTAGTCAGTAAGATGCCAGTTTTAGAAATAAATAAATGAAATATTGTTGAAAAGTTGGCAATCCTCTTAACCCTTATTTCTGGATGTAAGAGCATTCCCAAATTCTTTAATCTGGAATAAAACAGACTAGGGACTCAGCTACATTACTAAAAAAAAAAATCCAGCGCTTTGAATGTGTTATGAACATAGAAAACCAGGTAGCATCAGAGAGCAAGGAATGTTTCTTTGCAATGTTACATAGCATGTTGTTGTTTTTGTGTCATAACAATTTAATTTCTGATTTATTTATAGTGTTCCCCCCCCCTGTGTGTAGATCCACCCTAGTATGGGATGAGAAGAAATTGCTGAAAAAAGCATATGTCAATGCTTCATTAATTCAGTGAACAAAGTCAGTTAACCTGATGATACAATAATGCAAATAGAGTACTGGGGATTCTGCTTCCTATTTGTCGCTGCTGGCACAATCTCAAGATTAAAATGATTTGCCAGGTTTTACCAAAGATTAATACAATCATAGTGTCTAAGGCTGCAGCCCTATAGTCACCTTCCTGGGAGCACGTCTCATTCAATGGACATGTTGCGGAGCATAATTTTGTCATCGTTACTCACACTTTCACATGTGTTCAGCCATAAGTCCATTCCATTCTATCCCCACATTCGTCTGCAAATTTTTAAATTGCTTTAGCTTTTAAACACCTGCTGAAAACTTTTCTATTCTGCCACGCTTATCCAGGCAATAAAGAATAAATCTCTCCACAATGGTTAATCAATGTCTGTTTTTAACTTTTTAATATGGTTTTACAATGTGGTTTTAAGTATTCTTGTCAGAATATATTTTATCCCAAAATAAGCATTTTAAAAGTTGTTTTCATAATGTTTTGGGCAAAGAACTATTGCAGTAGAAGTAACCCGCAACTTAAGTGCATTTAACTTGTGCACATTCAGCTTTACAGGCTTGGCAAAAAAAGGGAAGAAAATCAAAAAGGAAAAAAGACTTTAGCAATCCCACCTGCCATTGAACCCAATGTGTTATGACAATACCTGGTTTTGGCTTTAGGCACTATGCCCAGAACATAACCCCAGCATAAGTCGAGAGTCACCTGTATTCAGGAAAAGTCTGATGGAGAACTATTTTTCAGTTCATACATTAGCTGAGGAGGTTGGGGGCTGGGTCAGTTCAATTTGCAATGTATGAATTCCTCAAGCATCCTCAAACTGGTGTTGTGGAAGTTATGCAACCTGGTGTTATTGAAGCAACTGAAGGTAATGTAATACAGGAAACAGTAGCATGATCAGATATGACATTCATCAAGGAGTGGAGTGGGGTTGGGGATCAGAAAATGCAACCTTGTGGATTCCTTAAGAAAAGACACAAGGGCCCCTATTTTGATTTCTGATAGGGCTCTTAACAGCCCCCTGGTGCACAAGCAGTTAGTGAGACAAGCTTTTTCTGGCATAGAGATATTTTAAAAAGGAGAAATTCACCTGTTTAAAAAGCGTTTGGTTTTCTAGCAGCTGTTAGAGAGGCAAAATGCATGGGCAGGGGAGAAATGGACTTATAATGAAACCAGGCTAATGACACTTAGCCTGAGAGCAACATCAATACACATGCGTCTGTTGACATTGTGTCATTCAAGCCAAGTTGGATGTGAGCACTGTCTACCAGTTTAGCTAAGTTCAAGGTGCTGGTGGTATACAAAGCCCTATACAGCTTTGGACAAGGTTATCTAAAAGATCATCTTACGCCTTATATATCCAAGGGGTTACTCTACTCCGCAGGAGACGGTCTCCTGAAGATAGCATCTTATAAAAAGGTCCACTCTGTAGAATGGAGAAACTGAGCCTACATTTTGGAACATCTTCCCATGACATACCATGTTTTTAAATGCCTGTCTGTTTGTGGGTTTTGGTAAAGGGTTTTGTTTTTTGTTGATAAAGGCTTTTTAAATCAACAGATAACAACAAATGAATATCCAAAGATGAAAAACTGTAAAATAGGCATGAGTTGCATGTGAGTTAAAATAACAAACTCCAAGTGAAGACTATTGGTGTTATCAGATCATCAAGTATAGCTTCAGATTTGCCATTAGGGTTGGCTTGAAAATGGCGGCTCCCCTTTATATGTCACAAAAGAATGCCCAATTGTATAAAAAGTGTCTTATTGAAATCTCAAATAACGGGTGATTTTCTCTGCTATGGCTATATCCCAGAGTGAGTGCTATCAAGCATCCAGCGCAAGATTTTGGGCTGTTTTCCACTGAGTCGCAATTACTCTTTGTGCTGCCAATATCATATATATTCTTTTGACAATGTACCTGCATTGGCATCATCCGAAATATTCAGTAACATTAATTTTGGACAACAAGCAAGTTTCTTTAGTAATACTTCCCAACTTTGTCCAAATTAAAATTCCAAAAATCCCTATTTTCTTCTGAGAAATGTTGGAGGGTTTGGAGTTATCCCACCTCCATGCCATCTGAAGGCAGCCCTGTATGGGGAGGTTGCTTTAAATGTTTTATTGTATTATTAATTATGTTGGGAGCTGCCCAGAGTGGCTGGAGCAACTGGCGGGTATGTCCCCATGCTTATACAGTGGTGCCCCGCAAGACGAATGCCTCGCAAGACGGAAAACCCGCTAGACGAAAGGGTTTTCCGTTTTGGAGGTGCTTCGCAGGACGAATTCTCCTATGGGCTTGCTTCGCAAGACGAAAATGTCTTGCGAGTCTAGAGATTTTTTCGCTTTCCCCCCCCTTTATCTAATCTGCTAAGCCTTTAATAGCCTTTAATAGCCTTTTAGCAGCTAATCCACTAAGCCTTTAAGCCTTTAATAGCCGCTAAACCGCTAATAGCGCTAATCCGTTAAGCCGCTAATAGGGTTGCTTCGCAAGACGAAAAAACCGCTAGACGAAGACTCTCGCGGAACGGATTAATTTCGTCTTGCGAGGCACCACTGTATTGTGGAAGTGCTTTGAGGTGTTTCACCGGAAGCAATCCAGAAATGGAACTAGGCTTCCCACATGTCAGGCAATTCCTGGTTTTCATGTGTAAACACAGTGTCAGGGGGGGAAACCTGGAAGTTGAAAATCACAATTTTGGCGGGAGGTTTGGGTTTGTACCCAATTTTGGTGGTGCTTTCCTTTAAAAAAAAAAAACAGCTCATCAACTTTGTTGGCACCCTTCAAAAAGGAAACTTTGCAGGTGTCTGGAACTTTACTTTTGGAAATACGGCAACCCTAAACCGAACGAAATAAGCAGCTAGGGTTGCCGGATTTCAAAAAGTAAAAACCAGGTCACCCCAAAAGTTGTTGAGGGTTTTTTTTCTTTTTGGGAAGACCACCCAACATGGTTGAGTTGTTGTTTTTTCTGGAAACCCCCAAAACGGCTGTGCTTTAGTTTCTTTCTAGGAAACCCCTGAAAGCTTTCGAGCTTTTATTTATTTATTTTTAGACCCACCCCCAAGAACTTGTTGAGCACTTTTCTTTTCTTTTCCCCTCAAAAGCGGCATCCCCCTCCTCAAAAAAAAAAAAGGCGGGAAAATACTAACGAAGGCCTTTCCCCTCACGAGGCCTTTCCTCAGCCAACGGGGACAGCTCGCCCCCCCCCCCGCCCCCCGCCAACCGCCGCCTTCTGGAATGTTCTCGCGCGGGGAATACCCGACATGCCCCGCGCTACCGCGCTCTTCCCGGGCACGTTTTGGGCCACCGGCTCCCTCTCAGAGGAGCTCGTCGGGCCGGTTTCCTTTCTTCTTCCTCCTCCTCCTTCCCTCCAGCCTCGCCGGGACTCGCTCTGCGGGTTGAGAATGGGACGGGCCTTCGCCGGGGCTTTCCCTCCCTTTCTCCTCCTCGGTGGCGAACGGAGACCGGTCGAAACTCGCTCAGGTTAGCGAGGCTGAGGCGCGCGCGGGGCGGTGGGGGGGGCGGGGCTGCGAAACTTCTCCTCCTCCTCTCTCTTTCTCTCCTTCTTTCTTTTCTTCCTCGGAGGATGCGGAGCGCCGTGAGGTGACAGGAAGCAGGGAGGAGGGGAAGAGGGCGAAAGTTTCTAGCCCCCGCCAGGAGTGGGTTGGCCGTGAGGGGAAAAGGGGGAAACGGGAGTCCGGCTTCCCCTTTCCGAATGGTGCTCCTCCTCATGACTGACCTCCAGCACGACGGGGCCGCCGCTAAAAAGGAAAAAGCTGCCTTGACCCAGTAAGTAGCCTTTCCTCACCACCACGTAGCTGCAGCCACCTGTTCCCGTCGCCAGGCTGGCCATCTTTTCCCAGAGGACGCTTCGGACGGCCGCTCAAAATAAGTCTCTCCAAGTTGGACCCCTGGGGGGGAAAGGGGGACATGTGGGGGGTCGGGGGGACATTCGGGGGGGGGAGGACACATGGCCACCCTGTCACAAGGGGATGTGCGCTTTCTTTTGGGGGGGGGAGAAACCTTGGGGGGGGGGCTTTATGGAAAAGTTCTTTAAAAAAACAAACCCATATGCAAATACTTTGCCATTAGCAATAGCTTTGATGAATCATGGTCGACCATTAAAACAACCCCCCCTGCATGGTGGTGTATTTTAGGTAGCTCTCTTTTTTTGCGATTTTGCAACAACTTTGCGCAAAACATAACTAAAAACAGCTCAACAACTCTGCCCCCCACCCCCCAAAAAGGAAAAAGGTCAATGACTCCGGGCAAAACTAATAAACGCCCCCCCCCCCCCGCCAAAAGCTCAACAATTTGCCAACTTTTCTGTCCGGATTTTCACTGTTTGAAATATGGCAACCCTGTCTATGATTATCCTTTAATGCTGTGTATTTTAACACTCCTTCTATATGTGTATGTACACACACACACACATACATCCTGAGTTATTAGCCTTAATGCGTCTCTACTGTTGCTGATATTTCAAATGCTGCTCACATTTTTGTGCTATTCTAATGGCTCTTCAGATGTTCTGCAAAAGCATTCCAATCCTCAGACAAGTTTTCTGCGGACTACTCTGCCACTTGTCTGACTTGACGTTTGTGTTCTTTGTACAGAAGTAACTTCTCAGAACTAAGCCACAGCGCTCTCATGCTGGTTTTGCCAGTGTTTGTGGGAATTGGTTGTCGTGGCAATTTTTGTTCATGTTTATATTTAACTCGTTTGGGGGCCACAGCCCTGTCTGGCTATTTGTGTAGTTCAAAAGGTTGCCCAAATTGGTTAGTACAGAGTGGTTTTGATTTGTCACAGCAATGAAATGGGATGTGGTGCTCTCCCCCAAAGAGGCTGCAGCAAGATGGTTTAGGTGGTTTGATGACTGCAACAGTGGTGCTCCTAGCTTGTAGTGGGATGGCGTGTAAAAGTCCATTATGCTAAGTTTGGTTCAGTCTGTTGCCACATGTTATGTACATAAATCAGTAACTTTTCACTGGATAGTTCATTGCAAATTGGCTCCATCATAAGCACTGTACATATTTACCAGGTGATAAGCATTCAGACTGTGGCTTGATTTATGATCCATCTCACACGTTTGCCAGTCGCCACTTAACACTTAGTAATAAATAGACACAAACGTGCTGTTCCTTGGTCTGTTTCTCACATAGAGAACTGAGGCTTGGATTGGGTTGGGTGGCATCGTAGGGATTTGTTTTATATTCGGACATATAGGTGAACACAGCATAAGAAAGCTAAACTATACAAAGCTCTGGGTAGGTAGGTAGTATGGCAGCTTGAATTGATGCAACAGGATGCCTCGTTTATTTGGACACTGATTTAAAACTGACAGCGAAGGAAATACGTGTGTAGACATGTCCTAGATAGTTGACGTTCATGTCAATGGCTAATTCAGCTATAATTAAGTTATGAATTAAATCTTGCATTCTCCGTAGGATTTCTACCCAGTTGTAAGATGTAATTTTCTAAATCATCGACAGAGCTTAATTTGAGATATGGCACTGGCTGGGATTCAGGATTGTCTGGAATCTGCCTTCTGCTTTGGTTGCTACTCCTCTACTTGGCATGTTCAGTAGAGGCATTTGATAAATTCGCCCTTTCCTGGCTAAGTTCTGCCATTAAAAACAGCTTAACAGTTTCTACATTTAATTTTGTTTAAAAAGACACACACAGTTTCTATGCTGTATGTGTGCTCTTGTTTTAGATAGCCCCAAACACATTGTCTGGCAGCAGAGGCTTGTATCTAGAAGAGGCAAATAAAATAGACTTGCACACTTCCATTCCATTTGCCAGGCAACCCAAGGAAAAGTCTCTTTGGTACAACTCGTGTTTGGCACCTTAGTCTGCAAGGCTTAAGTCAAACACTTGTCTGGCAACCTTCAGGATAGGATTTGAGGGACTGGTAGAAACCTGCCTTGAGAGAGCCTTTGAGTATTGCTTGTGATGTTGTGGTGGGCATCCTGCAAGAGTGCTAAAGAGTAATTCAGGGGGAGAGACCAGCTACTGATGCAGGGACAATGGGGCAAAACACCCCCACTGCACCCAGTGCTGTTTGCAGCAGGATCTTGGATTGTGTTTTCCAAAGAACTACCATGTGTTATTTCTTTTAATGGAGGTAGTTCAAATTAATAGGTCAGTGTTTGTATCCTGTACACACACACACACACACACACACACAAATATCCTACACACACACACACACACACACAAATTGAAATGGTGAAATAATCAATATAATTGATTATTGGGGGGGCTCCACCCCCATCATTCAGCCCGAACACTGAGGTCCACCTCCAAAGGTCTTCTGGCAGTTCCCTCACCGCAAGAAGTGAAGTTATAGGGAACCAGGCAGAGGACCTTCTCGACAGTGGCACCCACCTTGTGTAATGCCCTCCCATCAGATGTCAAAGGGATAAAGAACTACACAACTTTTAGAAGACATCTGAAGGCAGCCCTGTAATGTTTAATGTTTTATTATGTTTTTATAGTTTGCTGGAAGCTGCCTAGAGTGGCCGGGGAAACAAAGCCAGATGGGTGGGGTATTCCATTATTATTATTATTATTATTATTATTATTATTTGCACCGGGGTCAGTTGATGGGCTTAGTAGTGCCAGTGTATTAAGATTCTAATACTCACAGCACAAATATATCTCATCAAGCACTAGATGGGAGCCACTGAGATAGATTTCGGAGACACGAAATTTAAAGAGCTTGTGTGTAGAAGAAGGTGCACAAATGCATGCGCAGATGGAAACAGTAGCTCGCATATGCATGAATGCCCTATGCGAACACAGGCTATAAGCAGCCTATAAAGGAGCAACCACAAAATGTAAGAGGGCCCATCCATCTCTAGCTCCCCTGTAATTCAAGCCCTGAACATTAGTGGATCTTGATAGGCAGCCAGAATAAGTGAAGCAGTGTAGATCTGGAGACCAATTGCCCTTCTTACAAAGGGAGACGTGGTAGAAAGATCCTTGCAGGGCGGGGAGATATAGGGTCCTTGGATGTAGATGGGGCCAAATGGTGCATCCCTATACCTTTCTAGACATCAAGTGGGGCATCAGCACTTCCAGGTTTTCTAAGAAGATAACTTCAAAATGGAGTTTGGTAGAGGATCACATCTGTCAATTTCTGTCCCCTGTTTACTCTGTTGTTCAAGCATGCACTAGATTAGTGGTGATGGTGAAAGAGCCAGAAGGTTCATAGCTTACTGCTCTGCCTTTTATCTTCTTTTATCTAGCTCTTGTCATTTCCTCCTCTATCCGGATAAAACCTGTCATGTAGAAGACTTCCATTTGTCTGAAAAAAGCTCTTAAAGAGTATGAATGCCTAACATATTTGTCTCAAGAAACTTAACCGTGTAAAAAAACCTGTCACTTGAAGGTCAGTTTCTCTCTGCGAATGTGAAGAACTTCAAAGCTTCTTGTAAATTTAGTGGCTTGCCCTGCTGCTGCTGCTGCTGCTGCTGTTGTTGTTGTTGTAGTAACATATGGTCAATCATGTTAGGCTTCCACCTCTGTGTCCAGTCCAGATGAGGTTACAGCCTCAGGTGGGGAGAGGTAGGCGTTTAAACTCTAAATACAGCAAATCATGCCTCACACTAGAGATCACCAGTTTAATTCCAGGTGTCATCTAAAGTGGCAGGTGTTTACTTGCAGGCTGTGTTCCTCCTATATTTCTCCTGGCAGGTTGTGCGGAGAACTACATACACAACTAAGCTTTTATGTCGCCTTGGAGCAAATAATAATAATAATATTAAACATGCTGCTGTCAATTTGTAGTTTGATCAGCGCTTGGCACATTCTGTAGTGATGGCCCACTTAGGCTGCAATCCTAGGCACAGTTAGCTGAGAGTAGCAATGGAAGGATCTGTCAATTTCAGTTTATCATTTTTCGAACCTTAAATTCAGTTCTGTATATTTCTGCAGCAATTTGCGAACTTCCTTTTTTAAACTCCTCATGCAAATTCTTCGTGTTTTTAGTGTGAATTTATCCTAATAAACACATTTTTGTATGCAGTTTTGACTAATGTACACATTTTTGCCATCAATTTCTCCAAATATATGTTATTTTCACTAATATATTCATTTCTGTGCACAATTTCTCCTAATATTGCATGGAGGGAATGGAGAACTGGATTGCAAAATTTAGATAAGTGCAAATTTTGAAAGATGGCTATGTTTTAGTTCTTGTATTGCTTTGGAAAGTGGGAATTTGATATATTCGGCTTTAAACGTGAACTGATTTGAATTTCTCCCTGATCCCTAACTTTGAGGAAATCCTACTGAATTCAGTGAGGCTTAACCTCTAAGTAGGTGCACACAGGATTGCACTGTTAGACAACATGTACATGAGTAGCCAACTTGATGCCACCCACGTGCTATTGGACTCCAGCTTTCATCAGCCCCAGAAAACATGGTGAATGATCAGAGGTGGCAGTCCAGCAGCAAATGGAGGGCATCACATTGACTACACCTGCTCTAAGGAACTGAAAAATACTTGATAAAAATTGAAAGTAAATTTTCCAAAATGAACAGAGGGCAAAATTAGCAGGCAAATTATATCTAATGTGAAATATCCAGTGTAAATAGTCTACATTGTCTCTTACACCTTTTAACTTGTCATTCTTGCAGTCAGGAATCATTGTGCCCTAGATATGAAAGTAACTGGATGCATCCCCATAATCAGAGGTTTGTGCTCAGGCTGTTTACTTATTTTTATCATGCAAATTTCTAACCTAATCTAGATCAGAGTCAGGGAACCTGTGGCACACCAGACATAGTTGAATCACAAATCCCATCATCCCTGGCCATTAAACATGCTGTCTGTGATTGATGCAAACTGTGGTCCTGCAATATTTTAAGGATCACGAGGTTATGGGCACAACAACAGAATGTTTGGGTGCGCTTTTTTAATAAAAAGAATACAAAGCTGAAAATGAATGAACTGCAGCTAAAATGTTATGTTCATTTTTCACATGGTCTGGTCCTTCCCCTGCCCCCCTCCCTAATATTCTTAAGAGGGTCTCTTCTCCGGTCTTTGGAAAGTAGCTGGAAGTGGGTAAGCAGAAAAGGGTCCTCCTTTCCTTCCACTCTGCAGTTTTAATCTGAAATCTTAGGCGCAGTACTTCGCTCAAAGCTCAGAAACTGCTTGCACTAGTGAAATTCCCTTTTGCAAAATGCGCCTAGAACAATAGGAGTTTTGAATATTGATCTAAATTTAGGGGCACCACTTACAGGGCACATGAAAAGGCCACAGACAGTCCTTTGCTGAATATTTGTCACTATAGAAGACACTCTTACTGAAATAAGTTAATAATATATTTGGTATTTGAGCTAGTCCTCTTTCCAATATAGAAACTAAACCACTACCACTCAAAAAGACCAGGACAGAAACATCACAATTAATTTGGCATATAAATCAAACAAAAACTCCCCATGTTCATGTTATTATGTATCAGGTGCTGTTAATATACATGGAAATTTAACAAGTAACATATGAAGTCACTGTGTCAAGGACTTTAAAAGTTGATGGTGAAAAAGATAGAAGTTGGGGAAGGGAAACAACAACAACAGGGAGAGGAAGACATGAGAGTAGCTAGGATACATATTTGCATCTCAAATATTTCCACGAACCTAGTAGCGTGTAGATTGGTTTATGCACAAATGATCTTAAGAGTGCTTGCCAACCTCTTCCCCCCGCCCCGTGTGTCCAGCAACATTTGAAGCAGGAAAATTCTGCTGTTTATGCAGTCTGCTATCCTACTAACAGTGTTTTGAATCAGGCTCTGTTCTTGTCATATGAGCAAAAGTAAACAACTTTGAAAAAACAACCCCACCACAGATACACACAGAAATTCCATTTATAAAGTCAAACAACAGCAAGTGGAAACTCAGCTCATGGGGTTAATGGTTCCACACATAAGGGTCCTTGTTAGAATTTCTTTAAACCATTCACTCTAATTCTGTTAAATCACTTGACTGCATTGCTATATCAGTGTTTACTGTAAATATTCCATAAATATCTATAGTGATACGTTGCCTATATTAAATAATTTCTATGTTAAAAATAATCAGGTCATATGAGCATTGTATTTTATTTGGAGGTCCAACATCTGCCTGCATGATTGGATCTGATGCCTGTGCTCATTTTGGTCTGCCATTCTTGCTAGAACAGTCAGCAGGTACAGGGGGGAACCTGGGGTCTTCCCAGTGGTTCTGGACTCCGACTTCCATCAGCCCTAGTCAGCATGGACAATGACAAGGAATTGTGAGAACATCTGGAGGGCCACAGATTACACATCCCTGGAGTAGGACACCTTAGCATTCAGGTCACAGGAGCTGATGTGAGAGCACTGCAGTGAATATCAGAGCTTTATTCTGCTGCATTTCCTGCAGATCATGGGAACACATTAGTCAGCTGAGCAGATGGGATTCCATTGACCCATTACTCACAGGCACACTTCTCAGCTTTTGCTAATTATATGTTAAGAGGTGCACTTCATTGTTTCGAGACAGAAAAGTTGTTGTTTTAGTGTCTGTCTGGTATGGTGGTTTTATACAGAAACCAGTACAGTAGTACCTCAGTTTACGAACTTAATCCATTCCGGAAGTCCATTTTTAAACTGAAACTGTTCTTAAACTGAGGCGCGCTTTCCCTAAAGAGGCCTCCCGCCACTGGTGCCCTTCTACTGTTCGGATTCCATTCTTAGACCGAGGTAAGGTTTGCAAAGCAGGACACGTACTTCCAGTTTTGCGGAGTTCATAAACCGAATCATTCGTAAACAGAACTGTTCTTAAACCAAGGTACCACTGTATCTTGTTTGTTGCAGTTATATCCCACATTTTTCTCCAAGGAGGTCAAGGTGGCATACAGAGTTCACCTCTCCTTATTTAATTCCCACAGCAACCCTGTGAGGTAGGTTACGCTGAGAGTTAGTGACTAGCCCAAGGTCACCCAAGTGAGCCTCGCATCCAAGTGAGGATTTGAACCCTGATCTCCAAGGTCCTAGACAGACTCTATAACTGCTATGCCACACTGGCTCTGACATTTTTTGGTGAGTCTGGTTTCAAAAATTTTGTTGAGGTGTTGTTTTTGTTTGTATTTGCATATATCACTCAAGCAGATTGCCTACTGCCTTGATCCATTCAGCCTGGAGAATCCCAACAAACATGAACTATTATGCTGCAATCCTAAACATAATGGAACTTACTTCTGAATAAACACACACAGGATTGCACTGTTAGTTTGATTTGTGTTCTTTTAAATGAGTTGTTTATTTATATCGGCATTTGGATGCACGTATAGCCCTAGTCATGCATTTACTTACATGTAGGACTTTTGTGTGCAGCAGGTGGTGTGGAGTTGTTGCTTCTCCCCAGTTTTGCATGCTGAGTGCAAAGGTCTGAACGGAATCTTTCATGAAATCAACTGTTTGCCTAGAGGGCATCCATGGAAGCAACTGGGTATGTCACTCACCTGGAGTCCCTATTCACAAGCAGATGCTTGTGCAAAGGTTTTCAGATCACCATGCTCAACATGCAAAGGTTGCAAGTGGGGCCAGGAGTACACATGAGTAAATGCATGAATAGTGCCTTCCCAGGTCAAGAATTAAGAGGTACTCCTGCTGCTTAATTACTGTGTGTCTATAATGTAGTTAATGCGCTGTGCATCTAATGAGCAGCTGCCCACTTAATTCCTGAAACCACCTCCACAAAACCAATCTCTTAAATTGTTATGTGTTTCCTTCAGGTTGTTTCATCTTCTCCTTTCCTACAGAGAGAGGGCATGCTAAATTGTTGTGCATGTTTCAAAGGATCGGCTTGTATAATGGATACTGAATTTGGCTCTGACATTGTCACACAAATAAAAGGGTCAGTTTCTGTATTCCATCTTGCAAACAAACAAATTCTTGTTCATCTACAGTACCGGATGAGTTACAGAGGCGAAACAAAAATAAATTTCAGTAGAAATTTGAACATGTATACTACAGAGACCAGTGTAACAGTCAAGCAGCATAAACAAAAATATCACTGACAGTTGGGGTTCCCATCCCCATGTTGAAAGCCCTATATGCAAGTAAGACAGCTCCCTGAAGACTAACACTGATCACGTATTGGTTGGGGAATGAGCCCAGCTGATACAGCAACATCAAAGGGGTGGGACTCCCCGCATAAATTCCCACTGGCCCCTTTGCACTTTTCAGTCTGAATGCCTGAAAAGGGATATAGTCAGACCTATTGTGAGCCATGGTATAACACCAGAAATGTGGAAAATATAATTTAAGAATCACAAGAGAAACTTTTCTTTCAAGATTTGTAATATTGAATGGGATTGGATCAGTATTAGAAATTTGCCAGGTGCCAGGCTCATTTTGTAACTGGCACAGGTCCAGTTGCGACCGTGTAGAGATTTCTAAGTGCCAGGTTGGAGACTGGGGAAAGCAAAACGTCACATAGAGAAGGATCTGAAATATTTTCCTTGAGGCTTGAATTTGTTTTATTCTGAATTGTTTTGTTTGATGTTTTAATGTGTTGTAAATGGCTTTGAGATTCGTTCTTTAAAATATAAAGTCATACAAATAATAACGACAACAACCAATAATTTCCATCAGGTGGGCAGGAACAGGCGCATAGACATTCCATTGTGGTGACCGTAACCTAGGTTTAAGGTGCCATTTAGTGTTTAGCTTATATATCTGAGTTTCTAACACTGGATTGAATCATGGTGCTTGTGTTGTAAGTCTGTACTAGGAACCCAAAATGATACACTGACAGTGCCATGGATTTTACATTAGATCGGCCCTAAGATAAAGGAGGGAAAGCAACAGGTTTGAGGAGGGCCTCAATGAATGAATGGACGCCTCACTCTGAGGATGGGGTCCTTCCTCAGAGTGAGGCATTATTGGTATCTGCCACCACTAGTTTCCCATGACAGTGTCAAATGCATCTTGAAATTCAAATTTGAACCAAGATTTGCCACCCTCACAATGTAGAAGTGGATCCAGGAATCTTTACAGCCACTATCCCCACAATGCTTTGCTCTGAGAAAGGAAGCCTTCCTCAGAGTGAGGAGTGGTGGTTCAGGAGAGCCCCGTTAGAGTGCTGGTGATGGCACTTCCTTGTGGGTGACAGTGGCTATAGTAGCCAGTGGGGAGGCAGCCAGCTATGGTGACGGTGGCAGTGACAGGCAACCCCATCTGTGTTGGACGGGAATGCAGCCTGCCAGTCTTCTCATTTGCTACCTGAACCCTGAGGCTACTTCATTATAGTTTGGATAACTATTTTTAAAAATCCATAAATTTTGGATTGTGGGCAAATTTCACTGAAATCTTAACTTTGAAGAAAGCTTTGTAGTTTGTTGCCTCCTGCAAATGTATATGGATGTCCTTTTTTGAATAGTCCTCCTTTTATTCACACATCAGATTATTAGTATGCTTTTGAGGTGTCTTAATATAAAAGAGATTTTATAGTTCCTGATGCTTTTCTAAAATTAAAGAGTTAGTGAGTTGTTAATTTCATATCCTTGGTTAAAAAAACTGGTAACTTTTAGTGAACGCATCTTCATTGTAGGCATGTTTCCACCAACTAGTATATCTGCAACGTACATATTGTATTAGGATGTGAAAGGCTAGTGTTTCATTATAGATTGGCTGTCAACAGTGGCATGTAAGTCTTTGGAAATAGTTGACAGTTATATCCCAGAGCAAGATTTACCCATGATGAATCAATTTCCTCTTTTTACAAAATACTTCATTATTTTGTATGAGTTATAAATTTCACTTCCTGTTTAGATAATTTTGTGGGTTTTGTTTTTTTTAATTGCTCACATAGATTGCTGTTTCAAAAGCTTTTGTAATCCTGGCATTAATGTTACTCTGTAAGTGAAGAAATGTCTTCCCATTCTTGGATGAGCTAATTATTCAGTCATCATTTTAAATTATGATAGTTATCTGTGAGTTAATATGTGCAGCTTCACACATACAGCTGCTGGACAAATAGGTGCCTATCCTACAAGGTATTTAATGAAGGTTAAGAGCAAGTTACCTCATATGCAAAGCAATAAGATTAATTTATACAGGGGTTATATTTAAAAACAAAACATTAGAGTGTTTTGTTTACCCCCAATGCTGGATGAAGATTACATTTCATGAAGCAGGGGCATTCTTGGAGCTATCAGGGTTTCAGGAATGGATTTCCAACTTATTTTTGTATTTTTAAGGACACCCCCTATTTTATTTACCAATTTAAATGCCATGTTTATAGTTTATAGTACAAAAGGCAGAAAAGAGATTCCAAAGAGCTAAAGAGCCTTCAGCATACATGTGCATAAACCAGGGGGTGGAGGGGTGTGTGTCCTCTTCCTCTTCTGCATGATTAATCCAGCATGTTTTACAATCTACACATTATCGGCTAGGTTCCACTGTGAAAAACAGCATGCCTCTTTGTGGAGAAGGTCAACCAGGTCTAAATCAAGCTGTTTTGACTTAATGGAATCAAGGACAGGATGCAAATGCAAATTTTCTTGTCTCTTTTCAGTGAGAATTGCTGGGATTTGCACCACAGGTTTGAATAACAAATTAAGGGTTACATGTCTATCTTTTCCATTGGATCTTAATTCTTGCACAGGGGTACACCTGCCTGTCCCCATCTGTAAGTTATGATATGCTGCTTCCAGCACAATTTTTAGAGAAAGAGGTGCCAGAAGCACCATGAATGCCTCCCTTGTTGTCTTATAATGGCAATGGCGCCCACCTGAGAGGTGTCAGAACTGAGTTCCAGTGAGTTCCTACTGAAAAAAAAGCCCTGGCTACTTCCAGTATTGTTGACTAGACTGTACAAAGGTGTTCTTTAAAAAAATTCTTAATCCTGATATCGACTGATTAGGTGTTAGCTAGCTGCTAGCAGAAGGCCAAGGAAATTTCATGGAGAGAATCCATGGGTGGGAGGAAGGGCCTTCCCCTTCAAGATTCTGTCCTCACCCTTGCTTATCCCTTTTCCTTCATTGCTTGCTCTTTACTCCATCCCTTCCCCTAAGCAACTTTAGGCTGCTACAAAGGAGCAGGGATGGAGAACCTTCTCACCCCAAGCCACAGGCCTCACTGGTCTTGCTTCACACCCACCTGGGCTGGAATGCATCACTGAACTCTGATAATGACTCTTGCTTCCCTGGACGGAGGATAGAGAGGTGTATGTAGAAACTAGTTCACTGCACAGGGGTAAAATTTAAATCCATTGCTCCACCCACTTTTATTTCTTGCACCACCCACCATGTGTATGTGCCTCTGAGAAGGGAATAGAGCTCCTTTTAATATGCACTTTAAGCTGCTTGCATTCCCATTTAACTAGCATCATCTGCATGACATCACTCTCAAACAGCCCCTGTCCCTTTGGTTTTCCCCTGTAAATTCAGATTTCCCTATTCCAGCGGTACATTTTGAAAAATATATCCAAACTGCTTTTCCGACAGTGGATGCATTGCCTTGATCCCCCCCCCCAACTCCAGAATTCCTGGATGTGTGCCATTCCTGGGCAGACACCATTTTTCAGCTGATTCTTATGTTCATGCCTGGTTGTGCAAAATTAACACATTCAAACAAACAGATTGTAAGGTGCAGACAAAGACAAAAGGGAATAGCTGCTGGTCTGGACAGGATCAAGCAGGTTTGATCTTCAACTTCAATTTGACTAATAAGGTCAAATTCAAAGGGAGAGAATGTGGATTCCAGCAAGTGTACACAAGCCCTTAAGCAGCAACATCCTAGGCTTTGCGCCATGACATCCAGTAGATTCTATTCAGTGACTTCATTGCTTCTGCATCACTATGCATCAGCAGAAAAAGTAAGAGATAGGTCAAAGGTGGGTGATAGCCTGCAGCACTCTCAAGCCAGTTCAAAGATAGGTGTGGAAGGCAAAGCATTTTCAATGTAATTCTGGTTGTTTTACCAGAAGCCATAACTTCCTTTGTCCCATCTATCATGTCATCTCTTCCAAACGTGAAGTGGATCAAGCAGATTCTTTATATATAGGAGCCAACACCCTAGCCTTGGTAACTACTTGTCTGCAGACTTTTTAGTTACAGTGGTACCTCAGGTACTTATTTCATTCCGGAGGTCCATTCTTAACCTGAAGCACCACTTTAGCGAATGGGGCCTCCTGCTGCTGCCACGCTTCCGGAGCACAATTTGTATTCTCATCCTGTAAGTTCTTAACCTGAGGTACTATTTCTGGGTTAGCGGAGTCTGTAACCTGAAGCGTATGTAACCCGAGGTACCACTGTACTAATTCCAACAAGTGGTATATTTACAGCCTTATATCACCTAATCATCCTGAAGCTGCAAAAATAATTCCTAAATAAGAACTTCTAACATATGGGAAACAAACAAAAACTTCTTAATACATTTTTTTTAAAAAAAAAACTGTTGTTACTGAAGTTGAAGCATTCTCTTAAAGTTGAGGCATTCTTTTTCACAGTGCATATCTTAAAATTACAATACGTTTCCTGTTATTTTTCTCGTTCACTTCTGTTGCATTACAAGCATCAAGCAAAAATCAAAATCTCAGTTCTGCTTTCTCATAATGCTTATGAAAATTATTGTCACAAAGTTCAGTTGAAGTCCCTGAAGAAGAAGCTACTCTGCAGCCCTTCGAAATAAAATAAACTTATTTTTTTATGACTGCAGTATAACTAAGTAGCTCCAACCCATTCAGAAGGTCTCTAAAAAGTACAAACAAATTGGATGTGATTGGGGCCATCATGTTTTTAAATATTTCATTTTGTACATTTATGTCCCATCTTTGGGGCCACATACATGGCATTCCTAGATGTCTCCCATCAGGATTACTGTGGTATCCTGTCCTCCATTGCTCTATTTATTTTTTAAGACATTTTTATCCTGTTTTCCAGTTACAAAATCAAATTGTAGGCAGCTTGCAATAAAAATTTAAATCTCAAGATTTCAAAAAAACAAAACAAACACTCAAGCCTAACAATACAACAAACATGCCACGGATATGATTGACTCTCAGTGCAATCCTTTGTGCAGTTACAAAGTAATCCCATTAAATTCAATATGGGGCTTGCTTTTGAATGAGTAAGAAGACTAATTTTATTCACCTTAGAAAACATACTCTCTGAAGCAATGGCAATCATATTGTCTAGTGAGAATGAAAATATTCAGCTTTGACGTTGTGCCATTTGCAACTTGGGTTACGAATCCCACAGCTGAAAGACCGTCTGCCAGTGGAACTGTTAAAGCTTTTCTATCTCAAAGAGATCTGAAAGGGGAAAGAGAAAATGTAAAGAAGCTGCTTTTCAGTGACAGTTCTCATTCTGAACTGTTGGTTGTTTTGTTCCTAGAGAATGAGAAACACTGAATCAATTTCTATTGGTAAAAAAGGATGTGAGCTGTCAAGTTACAGAGGACAGCACTCTATCATTTTTCATTGTCATTGAGTGCAAGTATGATGAATTCTTGAGCTTCAGCTCTTTTGTTGAAGGGAACTTGACTCAGTGTACCTGAATGAAAATGTTAGGGAGGAAGAGACGAATGGGTTGGTTGGTTTTTTTGTCCCTGTTGGTTGAAATGACCACCCTGACTGTGAAAAGAGTGACCATTTGAAAGCCGTAAGTAAGCAGAGCCTGCCAAAGTTCATTTACCGTATTTTTCGCTCTATAACACGCACCTGACCATAACACGCACATCGTTTTTAGAGGAGGAAAACAAGGGAAGAAACATTCTGAATGAAACGGTAGATGAATCATTTTTGTGCTTCATGCTGTGGCCACAGACATGTGATCTGATGATGAATTTGGGGTGACCCAATGCAAAGATCCTGAGGATCCATGTCGATCCATGCTTTGTAACCACGTTTTTGCACCATTGCAGCCCCAGGCAACAGTGGGTGCGTGTGTTTTTTGGTGCAGTCTGTAGCCATGGACATGCTATGTGATCTGATGGTGAATTTGGGGTGACCCAATGCAAAGATCCTGAGGATCCATGTGGATCCATGCTTTGTAACCACATTTTAAGTGGGGAGGGAAGGAAAAACACAGAAGGGACAAGGAGCACGAGAGGGGTGTGCAGAGAAGCAGCTGGCTAAGAATGCAGGAGAGGGGTATAACGGGAGGGAGGAAAGGAAGGCAAAAGTTTCCCCCAAGCCAGCCAGCTCGTGCTCTCTCTCTCCCACCTGCATGTTTTCTGGCTGCCTGATATATATTTTTTAATTGCCTTGACAGAAGAAAGCATTTTAACTGCATTAAGAACTATTTAGCAGCGAAACCTAAGCTGTGCCATCCCTTAAGAGGTACAGACACTGTAATCTTCCAGATCGCATGAATTTACAGGCAAAACACTGTTTAAGGATTTCATCCTTTTAAATGGAAGAAAGCATATTTGAATGCTGTGTGTCCTCAAAAACAAAAGCAGGAAGTCAAATCAGAATTTTAAGCTGAACCTGTAATCTCTCTTCCCTTCACAAACATTGTTCCCTCCGGAGCATGAAGAGGAATTAGAAGGAAGGACGCTCTGCTTGCCTGGAGGGGAGCGGCTTTCCCTGCTCTTTGTTTCGTTTGAGCAAACACAGCAATGAAACAGAGGGGGTAGGCAGTAAGACCCTGAGGCAGAATGCAGGAAAGCAGCCTCTTCCTCTTTTCAGATTTCCCTTCTCCGAGACGCGATTTGATTTTTGCCTCCACTCGCGCCATTCGGCTCCAGGGACCACACATTCGCTCAATAACACGCACAGACATTTCCCCTTCCTTTTTAGGAGAAAAAATCTGCATGTTATAGAGAGAAAAATACGGTAATCATAACAGAAAAATTTAACATGCTCCATTTTACCATGTCTCTTTACCTGTCACTGAAGCAGAATTACTCAAGCTTGGTCCCCATATATTGTTGAACTACAGTCTCCATCATCCCCAGCCAGTTTAGCCAGTGATCAGAGATGAAGGGAGTTATAGTTCTAACAACATTTGAGGACCCAAAGTTGAAGAAGGCTGTACTTAAGGATGCATTCCTGAGAATGCTTTTTGGAAGTAGGTTCCACTGAAAGCAGTGAGGCTTCCGTGTAAATAAATGCATTAGCACTGAGCATAGCGCATATCCCAAGCTTTTTGCTGCCTTACTGCACTTCAGTCTGGATCTGCTCCTTCCCTCCTTCAAATTAGTAGAGTGATTATATGTTGCAGACAACCTTTATAGGCTGCAGACTTAGTGAGGCGGCTATCTCTTCTCTGATCTTTGCTGGGAATTGCAACCGGCAGCTCATGTTGCTTGGGACAGATACAATATTTGTTCACTACAATAGCAAAACAAAGCCGTCTTATTTCAACACACCCAGTACCTTGCTTTATTTGCCTTTCCACAAGTCATTTTACCTTCCATCCTGCTTGTACTGGCAATATTCACACGCAACAAACTCCAGAATGTTTTCTTTACAGATATACAGACAGTGGTCTTTCTGCTATGATAGCACACTGTGACTTCTATGGCTATTGTTTTAGCACTTGCCCTGCCAAGGTGGCACCATGGGGCGGGGGGGGTGATAGATGAAAGCAGGAATTGGTGTCTGACTTCTGCAGCAGGAGGGGGCACTATTTAGTTTTTGCTTCAAGCAGCAAAATGTCTTGGGCTAGCCTTGTTTATTCCTGTTTTTTTGTCTTACATCCAAGAACAACTGTTGTCTTCAGTGCAGCAGCAGACAAAAAATCTTCCTACTGCACATTTCCCAAGAATAAGCATATTTATATTTCACAGTGATGGCCCCATTCCACGTTTCTTTTTTAACATCCCATTGATTTCAACTGGATTATGCCCAACTAAAATCTGATTAGGTCTGCAGTATTAGATAACATTGATATTTTAGATTATATAAATATTTAAAAGTGCTTCGGATCATAGAACCAGAGTAGATCAAAGGTGGCAGGAGCAAATCTCCACAGTGATAAGCAGCAGTACAAAGTTCCAGCTAGCAACAGGAGAACTGAACTAGCTGGTGTGTACATACTGTACTGCAGTTGGTATAAAAATGTTACATTTGTTATGAAAGCATGGTGCAAAATCCTAACTAGATAAACAGGCAGGCAGGTGCACAATTTCAGTCTTAGATTTTAGGGTGATGGGTTAGGATTTGCTTTGGTTATTAAAGTTTGCTTTTAAAATGTAGAAGGCTTGGAATTTAAGGAATTATGCAGTGGCACTGATGATAAATGTCATTTTCCTGCAGTTCAGAAAGTGAAAATGGGACAGAAGAAAAAAAGAAGAGCGGGAAACCATATCCTGGGCTGTCACAGACATCACCAAGTGATCTTGAATGTTTTGAAGATCAGAAGAAGGTTATAACTTCACGGTAATAAAGGATCCAAATATACAAACTTTTCAGTAGTGTAACTCTTCCAAAGAAAGCTGTTAAACACACAGTTCCAGAGGATGTTGCTTTTGCAGTCCCATTTGGACCACTGCCAATGTGGTGTGGGGCTCAGGAGAGTTTGAAAGGCTGGTCCAGATGGCCACCAGATCCAGACTGGCCAATGGCTACCTGTCCCTGCTACAAACTGTAGTAAATAGAGATGAGTGGAGGGTCCCTAACTAACCACAGACACATCCCCTTCCTCTCAGTTATTAAACATCTGGGTTTAATTCTCTTGAACACATAAACAGACCTGAAATTGATATCATATGGGTAACCAGTGATTCTCAATCTATAAATAATCTTCAGCTTCTCACTTAATTCTGCAAAGTCTTAGCTTACAAGGGTAATAATGCCATACAAATCTGGAAATAGGATTTGGTGTTTTGCCAGTTGGTTAGATAGATATTCATGTTCTGGGTTCTTAACATAAGATTTCACTGGCTGACAGCTCTTCAGTTTGTTCTATCATAAGCTGGCCCAAAATTTTATACTGCACCTATATAATAATATATGTGTGCCATTACCATACTCATCTTTCTGTACATCCATTTTGCATATACATTTCACAGTATTGTCATCAGCATAGTTTTTGTAAATGCATTCCTCCCTGCCCAATTTGTATTTCCTTCCTTCTCTACATGCAGCTACACTCATCCTCAATCTGCTCCCTGATAGAAGAACCTCCATTATGGATGGAGCAACTAGCTTTCTTCTCCCCCAGATGAGATAAATACCAGGGCAGAACTAAACCTATTCCTATGCATCATTAATGGCAGTAAGGGACCATTATCAGTTAATTAGAGCTCTGGGTTTGAATTCATTTGAGCTCATATGATGAGTGTTGCCTGTGTAAAGGAGGAGTCTTCAGTCATAGGCTTGGCATGGCCTGGTGTCCACTCTCCCCAGCACACCATAGGCCACGTTGTACTTCAGTGATGGTTTCCTTAAAATGTGTAATTTACATGCATGCTTCTTGTGACTGAGCGGGTGTTTGCAAAGCTTCCAGTAGTAGTCATTTGAAAACTTCAAAATAAGCATATTGGCTCCAGATCTACCTACTATTTCTCTGGATTTATTTATTTTTAAAGTGTGGTGAACACGGGTATCAAAAGTGAGCTGATTATGTAAAAGAAATCTCCCTGAGACCTTTAAGGGTAAGGTGTTGTTGGACTCGTTTTTATCAGCTCCAGCCAGCACGGCCATTGGTCAAGAATGATAACTGTTGTCCAGCAACATCTAGAGGGCCACAGGCTCCCCATCTCTGCAGCAGAAATGCTGCCTGTGAGATTTTTTAAAAAAGAAAAACCTCATTTTGAAAACAGTGTTATATGCATGGGATGTTGTCTTGCTCTAGGTCGAAGACAATAGTGGATAATACCTTCTTGGCAACAGATGGCAAGAATGTCTCAAAGCCCGAAAGGAAGAAGAGTGCCTCAAATCAGGTACTGGAGAGAATCTACTTGTTTGGGATCCAGACCCTGCAGTCGTCATCTGAGGCCCTTCTTCATGTGCCTCCACAAGAGGTCCAGAGGGTGGCAACACAAGAGTGGGCCTTTTCTGTGGTGGCTCCATTTGTGGAATACTCTCCTCAAGGAGGCTCACCTGGCACCATCATTACATATCTTTAATTGCCAGGCAAAAGTGTTTCCCTATAACCAGACCTTTGGCTGATTAAACATTCTTGTATGGGCTTTTAAATGCATTTGGGGGGTTGGTTTGTTTTTGTTTTACAATGTATTTTGTATTCTCATTTTATATTTGTATTTTGTGAACTGCCCTGTGATCTTCTGATGAAGAGCAGTATTAATTTTTATTTTTAATAAATACCCACTTTAGGCAAAGTGTGTTGCATGTTTATGTTGGCTGTATTATTGTGCCAAACTGCAACGATGACCTCGAGAATTTTTGGACCTTGTGCAAAGTATCAAAATAATTCTCCCTCAGACATAACAGTGGCATTTTGGGCCTCTGACCCAATCGGTTTCCACTGCCACTGTTATCCATTGCCTGGGACTTCGTTCCCTTCCAATAATATTAGGCCCTCAAACTGTACCTCTGTTCCTGAATAGCATAATATAACCCCAATTCCTACATCTTCTGCAGAAAAGGGACTTACAGTTAGTTGCTTAATGCAAAGATAGACATCAGCTGGTATATATAGTAATGTTTATGCAGCAATAACCAAAATCTATCTATTTGTTTCCTCAACTTTAGTTTAAGGCAAATGCTCACTTTCACAAGCTGTTTCTGGATGTCCCAATTGATGAACCCTTGAGAAAAAGTAAGTTGAATGCTATATTTTTTTCCTGTTTTGTTACATTGAATTTTCTGTCACACTAACCCTTTGGCATGCCTCAAAGTTTTTGCAAGAAATTCTATTACTAGCTAAAATATTAGTGAGAGATTTCTGGCCATTGACACGTGAATTTGGATGCTTAGTTTTTGATAGTCTCTTCTAGTTCATAGCCAAGATGTTTGCTTTCCCAAATATAATTCAATGACTATCTTGTATTGAGTAGCTTTCTCATAATAGATCAGAGTTCAGCTACAAGAGATTTGGGATATGATCTAAAGCTATTTGACTTTTTCAGAGTGATTCCCCTTCCATGAATAACAGCATTTACATTTCATAGACAGTATTTAATACATTGCTTACAGCATTGCACAAGTGCAGCTGTTAGATAATATTGTACTTGTGACCCTTTCAGATTTTACCTGTGCATTACAAAAAGAAATCTTGTACCAAGGGAAGCTATTCATATCGGAGAACTGGATTTGCTTCCATTCTAAGGTCTTTGGCAAAGACACTAAGGTAAATGAAGTCAAGTGTTATGATGTGAAGTCAAGTGTTATTGATTATTCTTGCCTAATTCTTTTTTTAATATGGTTGGGGGTGATGATATAAATGTTAATGGAAACAATGGGACACTTGTAGATTTAGAAAATTAAAAATGATCCAGTGGTTTCAACCCTACAACCCTGGGTAAAATAATGTTGAATTAATAGAAATGACTATATCAATTGTTAATGCAGCATTAGGTCTACAAAAAAAACCACAAATCACCTGGTGGTGGTAGCGTTCAAGATGTTTCTCTCTGGAGAAGCTGAGTTAAGGAAGCAGCATACTGCTTCCCTTCTAAGCAAGGGTTTAATTGGAGATGGAGCAGGGTGTGACTTGCATGTTTAGTTGTATATCTCAAAGTATCTCAAGAAGCAGATGTCAGCTGCTTTGCAACAGGTCTATGCAAGAACCAGCTTTCTCACAATGGGTTATTTCTCAGTAACCATGAAAGCTACTGGAGCCAAGTTACCATCTTTATACTCTAATAACTGATACAATCTCATTTCAGATTAGTATACCTGTGTTGTCAGTGACACTGATAAAGAAAACTAAGACTGCCCTTCTAGTGCCAAATGCCCTGGTTATAACAACAGTCTCTGATAGGGTAAGTGCACATTTTGGGAGAAGCTTCTTAGCACCTTTAAATTACCCATTTTGTTTTGTTTTTCCTCCCCTTTTCCTGTCCTTCTCCATTAGCTGTTGGTCTTGTTAATTGGCTGTCCTGGTTTTTATTGAAGGTTAGATTTTTACTTTTTTTATTTATTATCACTTTGCATTTATACAGAAAAGAAAAGTAAGATCTAACTTGGACTAAAATGAAATAAAATAAACATACGGCTTGCTCTTCATCCCCCTCATGTTTTTACCCATCCTTAGCCCCAGTTACTGGAAACATCAGGGAGCAGTTGCCAAGAAAATATCTGGAACTCTTAACACAAAAGAAGTGTTTTCACCAAGCAAAAATGTTCCTCTTTAACTAGGCCTTCAGCTGATTGACATCTGTTACCCTTTTAAAGTGTGTTGTGGAAGAGGTGGGGTATTGGGTTGTTTTTATTACGTATTTTCTGTTTTTTATATTGTGACTATGTTGTGAACCGCCCTGAGATCTATGGGTATAGGGCAGTGTACAAATTTAATAAATAATAAAATTAAAAAGACCCTGAACCAATGTTGTGGGAAGAGTAACACTCCTCCTGTAATGCAGATATTTACAACTGGTGCCATTCTCTGCAGTTGTCTAACCAAGATACATAGTTTTCGGGCTATGTAGTATGGTGATGGCTGGGGCCCTCAGGAATGCAAGCATGTCAACTGAATCAGTGGTAATAGAGATACAGGCCTATTTTGCCCCTCCAAGTATGTCTAGGAAAACTAGCTGTTAGGCAGGCTTATCTGAGTGTGACCATAGGATTGAGATATCCTGGTCAGCTTGTAGGGGGAACTCAATTACTGACAGCAGCAATCTTGGATACAAATGATCAAGGCAGATGATAAAAAGTAGCTTGCCATGTTGGATGGCACACAGTGACTTTTATGTGCCTTTGTTCTTAGCTAAAGCAAGCTATGGCAGTCTCCCCAAATGCTGAATAATAATTTTGGTGGTTTTCTTTTCAGTACATGTTTGTGTCCTTTCTGTCCAGAGACACTGCTTACAAACTATTAAAATCAGTTTGTCAACATCTAGAGGTGAGTGAAAACCTTTTTCAGGTGCCTCTGTGTGTGTTCTCAGTATTAGTAGTTGATCAAATGGTGTCATTTTAAAATGTGTTTTCAGGATGTTAGTGTTGGCAACAGTCCCAGTCTTCCTTCTCCAGAAAATAGCTTCCGGGCAAATCGCCCAACAACTTTACCACTGGTAAGTTTTGTTTTTTAATAAAATTAAAAGCAATGAACTGATGAGGAACAATATGGAATGGCTATGAGCCAATATAATTTTCAGTAATAAGATTTTTGTTTTGAGATAGTATTGGAGGCTTTGTAAGAAATTCCTTGCTCCAATTCTGGCATGGACCAGCCTTTGCCAACCTGCTGTTCTTCAGACATTTTAGACTACAACTCTCATCAATCCCAACCAGAACATGGTGGCTGGGGCTGATGGGAATTGTAGTCAGGAACATCTGGAGGGCAGTGAGCTGACAAAGGCATTAATGGACCATTTCATGCATGATGCACACCTGCATGTACATGCTGAACTTGATGTTATTAAGATTGTTGAAGACTTGATGTCATTATGATCACTGAAAGCTCACTGCAATCAAATGCTTCACTAATTGCTTACTTGTAAAGCTCCCTGGTCAACCTCTGGCAAGTCACTAGAGCTCTATTCCAACATTCATCATGAGTAACTTGTACAGAGATTTGAAAAGAGAAGCTTCCACATGAACAGCTGTTCATGCATAGGCTTCTACATGATTGATACCAGTCCACAGTCTTGATTGCATGGACAAGTAGATGCTCACAGAGACTTCCCCTTTCAGATGTCATTGTGAGCATGAGGACATCAAAGATACATCCTTTTTCATGAATTCAATGTGACGTATCAAATGTAGATGCATTTTCCCCTTAAATGAGCTAATTAGTCTTTCATATATTTGAGTAAGGTGGATCACACTTTTTTTAGATCTAGTTCTGCCCTTTTCCCAGGCAAACCAGATTTTAAGCTTGAGGTTTACATGAATATCTTCAGATATAAAAGCAATAATTATTCAGAATTTTCAGTCTCCATATAAATTGAGCAGAAAGCTATCATAGATCTCTCACCGTGGCCTGGTTCTCAAGACGTAGGTTTCCAGGACCACACAAAAATGTGGGTTCCTGGAGAAAAGCTTGCAGCCACTTCCCCCCTCCCCAGTCCTTGTTTTACTTCTTTGATGCCCTGAAATAAGCCCAGGTGTGGCTTAATGGGTCATCAACCCAGGCTTGTGGTTGGTGAAAAGAGAACTTAACCAAGAGCCCTAGTTTGGGCAACAAGCTAAGCCAATTGTAAGAGAATTGTAACTTCTGGTACATTTGTACAAAGAGGTTAAATAACATCTGGTGAAGCTCTGGAATCCTTTCCAACTGTATTCCAAGAGTTTCAGGTGAATTAAGTTATTTGAAAACTAGATTAGATTGAGAGAGCTTGACTTGACGGATCAAAATCTTTATGGAACTGCAACCTAAGTTTTCTATTTTCTACTGCGCCACATTGCTTTAGATACGCTTAATATTTGTTACTATTGTGATGTTATTGATCCATATTACTGAAAGTGACATTTGGGGGCGGCGGCTGCAGAATATTGAACAGACCATTAATTCTTAACTAGCATTTCTGGTGCATCTTTTCTTCAGGATTTCAATGAAGATTTTTCTGAATTGGATGGCATCATCCAACAGCGCAGACAAGAGATGGAAGAATCCAGCAGCACTGGTTCTCAAACTCCAGAACTGGAAGCCTTCCAAGGTTTGAATAATAAACCGTTTCTTTACTATCCAGAAGCAGAAACTGCAGCCTTTTATCTAGGAATTTAGAGCACTTTCCCAGAGGCTACATACACTCTGTACATTTAAAGCTCATTACTTCCTCCAAAGAGTCCTGGGAACTGTGCTTTGTTCAGAGTGCTTGAAATTATAGCTCTGTGAGGGGTAAACTGCATTTCCCAGGTTCCTTTGGGAGATGCCATGTGCTTTAAATATGCTCTAAAAGTATGGTGTGCATGGAGCCAAAGAGCGGGAAATGTGGTGGTTGTTTATGTAGTACTTTTTAATGTGTAAAAAGCTTTAAATTCTTTGTAGTGGTATCAACACATATGTAAGACCTGTCCACATAAGGCCTGGTTTTTATTGTATGGAGGGGAGGGGTCAGGCACAGTTTGACACATATTGGCACTTGTCCAAGAGAATTAATAGGTTAGTCCCAACATGCTCTGTGTAAAATCACACTGTGGATTGAAGTATTAGCTATTCAGTAGCACCAAGGGAACATAATTGTGTGAAGCCTCATCTTGAGGTTGCAAATTCAGTTTTCGAGCACTTAGGCCAAATCAATGTCGTCTCAACATATTCATGCTGATCAGGAATGCTGGAAGTTTCTTTATACCATGTCAAACCATTGGTCCTTCTGGCTCAGAGTTGTCTACATAATGACTAGCAGTAGATCTCCAGATTTCTGCCAGGTCCTTTCCCAACAGTGCTTGGAGACACCAGGGATTGAACCTGGGACCACACAAAACATATACACTACACTGAGGTACAGGCCACTTGTCAGTGTTTTGATCAAACACCTTCATACTTTTTGAAGCCACCACCATCGGACATCTCCTCTCTTCCCACCCCCCACAAATGTGCAGAATCCAGGCAAACCATTTTTGCCTCTTGGAATACTGTGCTGAAGTATTATGCAGACTACACTAAAATCTTAATCAATCTGGTTGTTAAGCATCTGATCCATGGTTCTGACAACCACAAAAATTATGGATGTAAGACACGTCCTACTGAAATGAGGCTAACTTCACAGTAATGTTTATGCACCTGCATTGCACTTTGTGGTGTTATGCAATGCCTTGAGTTGTTCACAACTCCCATTATGCCTGATAATTGGCCATGCTGGCTGGGAATGATGGGAATTGTCATCTGATAACATCTGGAGTACACCGCATTGGTTATCCCAATACTGCATGCATTTGTTTTTAGTTTGAAATGCTTGTTCTTCAACAGATTACCATGTTGTTGAGACCCAGACTCATCTGAAAACCTCCAGGGTGGAGTCAAAGGCTGTCCATACAGATGTTAAGGCTAAATATTTGTGTGATGATAAAATCAGGAATCTTCCAAGAAATGGTAAATAGAGCAAATCCCCATTTGAAGCTGGTGTTGTGGGCTAGGCTGATAGATCCAAGCAGGGTTGGATTTCAGCAATTGAAAATGACCATAGGTTGAATCCAGAAATGGCCTTCTATATGTGGAGGCTCCCTATATTACACATTGTGCAGAACACTGGGAGTGAAAAGTGAAATTACTTCTGCAGGTGTTCTTCTACTTGTGCAAGAACTTATGCAACCTCTTGTCCAAGCAGAAGCCAGAGAACTGCTACAGAATCTACCTCTGATAGCACTAACTCATATGAAAGTATTTGTCAAACAAAGCTAGCAGCTGCTTCTCTTCTGCTCACATTTTTGTGGATCCAGCTCATAGTGGCAAAAAAAAAAAATGTATACAGACTTTCACAGTTTTATTTGATCTTAATTTTTGAGGCAAAATTCTGGAAAGATGCAGGAGATGATCACAAATGCAAACCTCCCGATAGAATGTGACATACAAAGCAGAAAGGTGAAAATCAGCGTTTCGGTAGGGAGAATGCCTGTTGTAGGTAGGAAGTGAGGAAGGAATGGGCAAAGACTGCACCCATAATTGGAAACTTCTCCCAGCTATGTGTTCCTTTGGTTTACAGCTGGAGTCTACTTATGACACCAGATCTTGCTCTGTGCAGGTTCCGCTCCATGTAGTACAATCATAGCCTTGCATATTTCTAGAATTCCTTTCTTTGCCCCACTATTCTAAATAATATCCCATTCAGATCAACTTACAGTTTGGAGTGCTGTCTTACATATGGCTGAGAACATTAGCTCATCAGTCTATTAACCACATATTTAAGCTGTAGGTTTTAATCAAGGCTTCCTTAGGTATAAAGGTGCCCAGTGCTGATGGCTTAATTCCAAACAATGTGCTCAGTTGATTTAGAGCATAATCATATTGCATAATAGACGAAGCCAGTTACCCTTCATTAAGTGGCTTCAGAGCATAACCTGAATTAACATATTGTAATATTTTTAATTAGTGAGGAAGAAACAACAACAACAGTCAACTTGCACCCTACAGTCATTTGGCAGTTGTTGTCTTATGGAGCGTGTCTGGTCGTATCATTTTCAGATGCTTCAATAAATATTTTATTCTTCTCATAGCTCCTCCTCCTAGAATCCTTGGAGTCCTTTACAGAGTGAATTACCAGAAGTTTTTGACTGTGAACCACATACTTATTCTCTATGCAATTCTGTAAGTATATATAACCCATTCCCCAAACTGCAAGGTTGCAAAAGCAAGACTCTGGGAAACTTTGCTGGCTTAAATCTGGGGTGCTTTCAGAATGCTGGGCTCCCTGTGGCTAAATAAACGGCTTGCACATTCTCTCCCCCCCCCCCCATTAGCTGCACACCAGTAAAGAATCTGAATATGTTCCACAGTACAAATTTCCATTGCGGAAAATGGAAGCAAAAAATGTGTGACCTTTATAAATTGCTCAAGAGTTGTGTTATATGGATAATAGGCTTGTGCGATTTTCTAAAAGCATTTTGCCGGACTCCTGGAGGCTAACTGAAAGGAAATTGAGGGATATTTTAAAAGACCATGGGTGAATTGAAACAGCCAACAACATTGCAAACCAGGTTGCAGATATGTAGGTTGGTGGAGTAGACAGCAGTAGAGCTTCACTGTATACATTCTGCTGTCTTCTGGGGTGATATCAGCTGGTTCCCCGGCTGCAGCAAGCGGTGGAGGGTTAAGCACCATTGCATCTTTTAAATAAGGCATAGCTACCTTGCTGCCCTCCTGATGTCATTGGACTACAACTCCCATCATTCTTGACCATTGGCTGTGCTCACTAGAGCTGATGGGAGTTCTAGTCCAACATTATATTCTTAGCCGCCTCTGTTGTAAAGGTGAAGATCTGGATGAGTTTATATTACCAAATGGAAAACACTTGAGGAAAAATACCTGCAATGTCACTGTGAAAGTCTTTTTGCACGACTGAGCTTTGCTGTCTGAAATTGAGAGACATCAGCTTAATGGGGTGGAAATTTAACTGTTAAATTCCTAATAATGTTACATGGCTAAATGAATGTAACAGCAATTTGGTGTGTGGTGATCAAGTGTGGTTTTTTTGTCCTCAATCCACCTCTCCTACAGTGTTTGTGTACTCATTTTCTCGACTTTCTACATGAGATATAAAATCTACATTCTGGAAGAGCAGCTTGGCACCATGGCTTCCTATGTGGATTCACATCCCCACGTGTAAGAATGATTTTGTTGTTGGAATCTTCTTTATCTTTCCATTTTTAATACTATAGTCATCCTGCTAGACCTAGCTTCATCATCATCTATCCCATAGTTTCTCCCCTGGGGTTAGGCTTTCATTCTCTTCTTCAAGCAGTCATTTTAAATTTGCACTTACATGAGAGTAATTCCCATTGCATTTAATAGGACTTTTTCTGAATAGACATGTATACGATTGCATGTGCATAGTGCACATTATTTTTGGTGTTTTGATCTTTAACTGACATGAGGTAAAACTGTAAAATTTAATCCAGTGCTATATTTCTGTACATTCTCATTCTAGTTGCTTACCTCACTATCTCACAAAACTCCAGACATCTCCTTTGTGCATTTTTAAATTGTCTTCTGCTTCCCTTTCCCCACATTTACTTTCCATTTCAGATATCCAATAAAAGAAGGTCTAGGATCTCAACTGCCTCTTAACATTGTTGGTCTCTCTGAGGAGCTAACAGCTAATCTTATCAAACTGGAAAAGGTGACTAATACAGAACTGTGTAACTAAGAATTGTTGTGTTTTTAAAAAAGTTTCCCAAGGTAGCCAGACCTTCCAAGTCCTAGAAGAGGGATGGGGAACCTGTGATGTTGGACTCCAACTTCCATCAGCCCCAGGCAGCATGGCTAACAATCGGAGATGATGGGAGTTGTTGTCCAACAACATCTGGTGGGCAAAAAGTTCCCCATTCCTGTCCTAAGAAACAGCTGCTGGTCTGTATGAGCATGGAAAGTGAAATTAATGTTTATAAGGGTGGCATGGTGCTTAACAACCATTCCCAAACCCTTAGCACTGCTTTTGTGCCAGCCCATTTGGCAAAGTAGTGGGGGAAATTCCTACCTGAAGGTTAGGGGAACTGGATCCATAGGCTACTTTGACAGGTGGTAGGGCTGCCTACCTGTCAGTCGCCTGATCTCACCATGACAGGCAAAGCGTTTTCCTTTGCTTATATGTCTTGATTTCAAACCATGGTGGTCAAAGGGAATATGAAACTGAATTGTGCAAAGGAATCAGGGCTTGCAAGTCTCACTTTTTTCCAGAATTGGCTCCACATAGCAGCTCCAAGTAGCACTAATCCATTTGGTGCCAACTTAAATGGCGGCAGATACAAGCCCTGCTTGACAAGGAACAATCTCAGGTGCACTTTAAGATGGCTAGATTCTTCCTTTGCAGCTGCATCCTTACCTGTCACACACCTGCCCTAGCTCCCAAAGCTCTTGTGAGTTTTATTTACAAATAATTTTCATAATTTCTTACAGCTCACTATAAAAGGGCTCTTTGTGGGAATGATTTTGCATTAGCAAAACGCAACATAAGACTTCCACAGAGCTTCTAATCGTTACCATGGCACTGAGGCTTCTACGGAGGACAAAAAATTTGCCCTTGTGGAGAGCTGGAACAGAACACGTTAAGCCCTTTTGTAATGTGCAAACGAGCCCTTCATATTTATATGACAAACTGCAAAGCCTGCCTTTCTACTTAAAAGAAAAGCCTTAATCAGTCACTCTGTTTCCCAAACAATGTTGTACTTCCAATGGACAGGGGCTTTATTTCTGCCATTTGTTATCAGGAGATTTGCTTGTCTAGTTGCCTGCTCCCTGCAGATGGTACCCATTTAGGTTCATTTGCTAACAGTCGAAACAAATGAACTTGCTAACCTCTACCAGGGAGATTGAACGGAGCCTAAAACTAGGTGTGGAGGCCCCTTCACACTGCAGTGTACAAATCTCAGTTACAATCAAGTTAATTCAGACCAAGAGGTTTTCCCCTGAGTACTTTTCTATTTGGTGTTGTACTTCCCCAAGAATAGTTCGACATCCAAAATTCAAAATGTTACGTGATGACGTGGTTCAGAAACCACAGAACACGTTGTCTATTTGCTGCTGCTGCTTTTCTGCAATATGTTCACTAGTATAGATAGAGGCAATAGACCAGAGATGGGGAGGCTGTGGCCCTTGAGATGTTGTTGACTCCGCTTCCATCAGCCCAAGCCAGCAGGACTAGTGGTGAGTTGCAGCATCTCAAAAGGCCACAGGTTCCTCACTCCTGAAACAGACAACAGAAACCTTCTAAGGTATTTCTGTTGCCCATCAACAAATACTCAGCACACAAAGAAGAACAGAATCTTCATAGACCTTGGGGAAGAGGCACTCGAAGCATGCTAGTTGACCTCAGGATACTTTCCCCAGTGATTCTCCATTTAAAAGCATCCCTGAGGATGGATAAGAACTGTTTGTGCAAACCATTGCTACAGAGTTTATAGAATTTAATTTACGGGCTGCTTGGATTTAACTGGATTGAGTGCCTTGACTTCATAGAGCATACTCCAGTTAAGCAAAGCGTATGACACTGGGCTGTTCATCTGTTGTACAAGTGGCTGCAAGTTTTATCCAAATCCTTTCTCTTGTATTTTTCTTTCCTTATTAAAGATCCAAAGCAATTTACAAAAGCTACTTGAAGATGGTGAATGAGTTGCCAGCTACCTTCATTCGTACTTCATTTCCTTCCTGATAAGTAACTCTAAATGTGACATCAGACTCTGCTGGCCAGGGTGTTATGTCCTTCAACTGACTCCAAAAACTTCACTCTCCACTTGACCGTGGAAGTTTGAATCTGTGCAATAAAGTGTCTCTATTCAGAGGATGATGCCTTTCTATTACCTATAACGTTGTGAATAACTGGGAAGACTGATCTTGGTGCTTTGTTATATTACTTAAATCCACAGTAATTCTACTTTCTTTGTGTGACTTTCAGACTTAATATTGTGTGACTAAGAGTAATGCTTGGTGCGGATGTATCATTTGCTGTACAATCATGTCTGGAAAGTTATGTGTCTTTCACATGCATGTATTGCCCAGCTTGTTTCACTTTTCTTTTTGCCGAAACAGAAATTGGGCACGTGACCGACGTGTTAATCAGCAGGACCCAATGGGCTTCATTCTGCGAGGTGCTGAGCAAAACACCGTTCCCACTTTGCTCATGTTCTTCACTGGTAGGAGGGGACACATTCCGTGCAGACTTGCCAAATGGCCCTATTCTGCATGCCATTCTGCTGTCAACGAAATGTAGCAATGAGTAAAGTTTTTCTGGAAGAGCGTCCATTGCTAATGGGCCACCCCCCCAAGTCAGAATGTTCTTGAAGGCTCATTAGCAAGGCTAATTGAAAAGCTGACAACCCTAGTTGCATAGGGTTGGTCCAGATGATGGATGGGTGCGTTAAACTTGGTCTGGGCCTAACCCATAAATTTTACTGGAGCAGGAATATACCAGCAGCGTTTAGCCCATTTAACTGGTCTGCAGATACCTAAATTAATAATTGCTTTCATGTACTTAATTTCTGTATCAGTATATCTGACACCTAATTACCGTATTTATTTTTGAAAATGCACTTGAAGTACTCCAAAAACTGACACAGTTCAGACCCTTTGCCCTTACAGACTCAATGAAGTGAGGGTGTCTTTATTGCCCCCAGGTGGAATAATTTATAAACTGGCTAAAGCTGCAGTCCTAACCTTTCAGTAAGCACCACTAATTTGAAAGGACTCCTGAGTAGGCATGGTTAAGATTGCACTGTAAATTGGCCAACTTGGATTTCAGTTTAGTCCCAAATGAAGGTTTTTTTAAAAAAATTAAAATCATATTGACTCTAGGTACATGTGTTACTAGGTTTGGGGATTGCAATCTGTCATTTAATTGTGTTGCTTTCATTCACTCTGTTGGAAGAACGGCTAGCTAGTGATTACAAATTCTCAAAGATTATGTGATGGTATATAAATTCAATTTTTATTAATAATAATAATGGTAACTCCATGGTATTTTGATCTACAATGGAACCATTGTTTTTAGTGCTGTGTTGGCAATTTCTCCTGCATTTATTCCAACCATTTCCCATCAATGTGAAAAGGAATTGCATTAGGACATTTCCAAATGAATAGGACAGAAAAATGGAAGCTTCTTCTACAGAAGAAACAAATTTTTGAGAAACTGAAGGACAAATAGCAACACAGCAACACTTTTTGCCACTAGAATATCCATAGCCCATATTCTGCCGCATACTACTGTCTTCACAGTGCCTTACCAGTGAAAAACCTGGTAATTCATTAGTTTTAGCCAGATGAGTTGGTTCATATTAATATTATTTAAAATAACTCGGATCTATAAAATACAGTGTTTTCTTTACATAGTAGAGAGACTACCTTATCATTTCTGTGAAATGTAACTTATTCATTTTTAAAATAAACTTTCTAAAACTGCAGTGTGTGTGCGAGTATGTATTCAAGTGTGTCTAACCTGGAAGCTAATTCTGCACGTGGTTAGCTGATGGCAATCTGAACATGAGACAGGGTGATAATGGCTGCCAAAAAAAAAAAGAGGCCAATGAGATCAAAACCTGCTTTAAGAGAAGCATCGTTTACAGGGAAGGGGTGTAACAGTTCTACTTAATTCTGCTCATGCCATCTGAAGTACTGTGTCCAGTTCTGGCTGCCGTACTTTAAGAAGGATATAGACAGAAAGGAATGGGTTCAGAGGAGGGCTCTGAGGGTGGTCAGCACTATGGAAAATGTTGAAGGCACAGAGAAGGCTTAGCTTGGAGAAGAGAGTGGGAATATGTTAGCAGCACTCTCCAAATACCTAATGGGCTGTCACATAGAAGAGGGCAAAGACTTGCTGTCTGCTGCTCCCAAGGACAGGACTAGATCTAAGAGGCTTAAGTTACAGGAGGATGGATTTCTGCTGAAGCTTAGGAGAAACTTCTTCACGATAAGAGCAGTTCATCAATGGGTCCAGTTACCTAGGGAGGTGATGAGATCTCCCTCACTGCAAATGAATAGACATCCTCTGGGTATGCTTGAGCTCTGGATTTCCTGTATTGAGCAGGGAGTTGGACAAGACACACACACCCCATTCTTTGATTGTAGCATTGGGTCATACGGAGATATGAAGTGTAATAGAGGCCTTGGGTAATACAGTGGTGCCCCGCAAGACGAACGCCTCGCAAGACGAAAAACCCGCTAGACGAAAGGGTTTTCCGTTTTGGAGGCGCTTCGCAAAACGAATTTCCCTATGGGCTTGCTTCGCAAGACGAAAGCCCATAGGGAAATCTCCGGGACCTCTTTTTAAATGCTAGCGGTGGGGAGCAAAGCCTTCCCCCTCCGGCCTTCAGAAGAGGTCCAGGAAGGCTGGCGGGGCCGAAAGGCTTTGCTCCCCACCGCCAGCATTTTAAAAGCCGTCCGGGATAGCGGGAAGCGCTCCCGCTATCCCGGACGGCTTTTGAAGGCAGGAGAGGTCCGCGAGCCTGGGCGCGCTGATCTCAGCGCGCGCAGGCCTCGGCATGCCGGCAACTCTCCGCGAGCAGCGGCAGCGCTGCCGCTGCTCGCGGAGAGGTCCGCTGAAGCCTGGGCGCGCTGATCTCAGCGCGCGCAGGCTTCGGCATGCCGGCAACTCTCCGCGAGCAGCGGCAGCGCTGCCGCTGCTCGCAGAGAGGTCCGCGAAGCCTGGGCGCGCTGATCTCAGCGCGCGCAGGCTCGGCATGCCGGCAACTCTCCGCGAGCAGCGGCAGCGCTGCCGCTGCTCGCGGAGAGGTCCGCGAAGCCTGGGCGCGCTGATCTCAGCGCGCGCAGGCTCGGCATGCCGGCAACTCTCCGCGAGCAGCGGCAGCGCTGCCGCTGCTCGCGGAGAGGTCCGCGAAGCCTGGGCGCGCTGATCTCAGCGCGCGCAGGCTCGGCATGCCGGCAAGTCTCCGCAAGCAGCGGCAGCGCTGCCGCTGCTCGCGGAGAGGTCCGCGAAGCCTGGGCGCGCTGATCTCAGCGCGCGCAGGCTTCGGCATGCCGGCAACTCTCCGCAAGCAGCGGCAGCGCTGCCGCTGCTTGCGGAGAGGTCCGCGAAGCCTTGGCTGGACAGCTTTTGAAGGCAGGTGGGGGGACAAGACTTTCGCCCCCGCCAACCTTCAGAAGAGGACCTCTTCTGAAGGCTGGCGGGGGCAAAGTCTTTGTCCCCCTGCCTGCCTTCCCAGGGGCTTTAATTGCCCCGGACAGCGGAGAAGTCCTCCGCTGTCCCGGGGCAATTTTAAAATGCCGCCCGCCAGCATTTTAAGATCGCCCCGGACAGCGGAGAAGCCCTCCGCTGTCCCGGGGTGTTTTAAAATGCTGGGGGTGGGAAGAAAAGCCCTTGTCCCCCCCAGCCTTCAGAAGAGGTCGGGGACAGACTGTCCCCGGACCTGGTCTGAAGTCGGCTTCCTAGGAACGCATTAATTGATTTTCAATGCATTCCTATGGGAAACCGTGCATCGCAAGACGAAAAACTCGCAAGAAGAAAAAACTTGCGGAACGAATTAATTTCGTCTTGCGAGGCACCACTGTATTCTACATGCAAATGAAGTCATCTGTGGATGCCAGGCAATTTTATGTAACCAGAGTTTTAGAGAAATCGTTTCCGAAGACAAATATTGCAAATACTGTTACTGGACTACTGGGATAGCTCAGTCAGTAGAGCATGAGACTTTTAATCTCAGGGTTGTGGGTTTGAACCCCACTTTGGGCAAAAGATTACTGCATTGCAGAGGGTTGGACTAGATGACCCTCGTGGTTCCTTCCAATTCTAGGATTTCTGCTCACAAGCAGCTGTGAGCACACTGGGATTCTGTGCAATTGCAGCAAAGGTGTGGAATGTGGCATTGGGAGAAAAATTCAGACTTCTAAATATTCCTGCTCTCCCTTTTTTAAAAACCTTGCCAGGACAGGCTTGAGAGTGTGCTGGCATCACCTGGTAAAATAACAAGAGTTTTGGACTACAACGTTTAAACAGGATTTCTGATGCCTGCTGACTCAATAGTCGCGCTAGTTTCCCCTTCCATGGCTATCATAGACAGAATGAGTAATGCAAAAGATATGTAAATCAGCTTAATGGGGGGGAACAGCTATGCAGAGCTGTAGAATTTGGCTCTTCTTGGCACATAATTTTTAAGTTAATTTTTTAAAAATAGGTTGAGTCACACAAAGGCTGCAGGTGGAACAGAGTTCGCCTGGGAGCCATGTTTCTTTTCATGCTATTGCCTTCCCATCATTGAAACCCAAGATGCCTTGCACCTGACTGGGTTTTACCATACTGATGCAAGTCACATGCAAGTCACATTGTGGATTTCCAAGATGTCATTTTGCTGCTGTTGAGCAAACCAGGACTGGGTGTAGAAAGTGGCCTTTGTCCTACATGGCAACATTCCAGCAAAGGTAAGTCCAAATGGGAGCAAACATGTTAGGTAAGGATATTGTGCAATGGCAAGATCTGGACACTGACTTAATCCTTATGTATTTAAGCTTGCAGGTGTGTTGCACTTTAAACAAACTGCATGAGCCCCAGCAGAAGCAGACAAAAGACGCTTCTAGATAATAGCATGTAGACTTCTTTGGTTTAAAAAAAGCTACCACCCTATTTAAACACAACTCTATATCTCTCAATTTCCTTGTATAAAGTGCATTGACAATTCCACTCAGAGAATCCCACACCTGGAATACTGTGTCCAGTTTTGGGCACCACAATTTAAGAAGGATGTTGACAAGCTGGAACGTGTGCAGAGGAGGGCAACCAGGATGATCAAGGGTCTGGAAACAGCCTTATGAGGAAAGTTGAAGGAGCTGGGTGTCTTGAGCCTGGAGAAGAGGAGACTGAGAGGAGATAGGATAGCCTTCAAATATCTTAAGGGCTGTCACATGGTAGAGGGAACAAGCTTGTTTTCTCCTGCTCTGGAGGGTAGGACTCCAACCAATGGCTTCAAGTTACAAGAAAAGAAATTCCAACTAAACATCAGGAAGAACTTCCCAACAGAATGAGCTGTTCCAACAGTGGAACGGTCTCCCTCGGGAGGTGATGGACTCTCCTTCCTCGGAGGTTTTTAAGCAGAGGTTGGGTGGCCATCTGTCATGGATGCTTTAGCGGAGATTCTTGCAGGGGGTTGGACTAAATAATAATGATAATTATTTGTACCCTGTCCATCTGACTGGGTTGCCCCAGCGATTGTGGGTGGCTTCTATCATCAATAAAAACATAAGACATTATGTTAGAATATTTACAACTAGCAAAACTGATGGGTAGAGTTAGAGGAGTATTGAACCAGAAAACATTTGGAGAATGGAGAATATTTAAGGATTATATAAGATCATATTGTACCAACCACACCATATTAGCAGAACTTGAGTGATACTTGTAAACACAACAAATACCGTTTGTGGAGTAGACTGGAACAATATTAAAGAATATAAAACTGTGCAGGGGGGAAACGACAGTATAAACAGTACAATGAGAATGATTGGAAGACTCACTTTGTCAGAAGTCTTTTTTATTTAAGTATTAATTAGGATGATTACTTTTTTATGCACATAAATCTGCTTTTTCTTTCTTTTTTCTGTATTTTTGTTCTTAATTGTTTGTTCTTTAATTTTCTTTTTGTAGTATGAGATTGTAAATGCTTTGTATATGTGTGTAATTTAAATTAATAAAGATTATTTTTTTAAAAAAAGACTTTAAACATTAAAAAGAAAAACTTCCCTATACAGGGCTGCCTTCAGAGGTCTTCTAAAAGTTGTAGATATTTATCTCCTTGACATCTGACAGAAGGGCGTTCCACAGGGTGGGTGCCACTACCGAGCTGACCCTGGGGGTCCTTTCCAACTCTACAATTCTAGAATCCTAGGTAGTTTGGCCTTTAGACCAAATGTGGCCAGTGAGGCAGTGCAGATGGCACTCCTCTGCTTCCCAAGATAGCAGATCCCTGCTGCTCACCGGAGAGAAGAAGCAGGGCACAGGGAGGGAGCTGTGGAGTATGGCAGCGATGGTAGCCTGATGCTCCTGCCATGATGGATTTTACTGAGCTCCCAATGCCTGGCCCTTCTCTGTCTTGGTAAGCAGCAGCAACCCACTGTGTTGGAAACCGACGAAGACAATAGAACCCTACCCATGTTCTCTTCTGCAAACAGAGCAGACCTCACAATACATTTCATAAACCAGGATATTATTATTTTTCTGGCCCCTATCTTGGAAGGCGGTCTCAAAAGAATGAGGTTTTGTTGATACAGTTTACTGTGGACCACCTTTGTAGCTGGAAGTGGATGCACCTGGTAGATTACTTGCAGCCGCCGCACTAAATACATGTGACTGGTGGTAGTTGTGCTGGGTTTGTTACTCTCCTTGAACCCTTCCAAAATGAAAACATTGCTTAATCTGCGCCACCATATTCTCTATCAACTACCTACGACGGGATT